TGACAGAATAAGTGGGACAAACGAAAATAAAAAAATGGATACGGTAAGTGAGACGGAGGGAGTATATCGCACTTGACTGTTCTCGGATGCGTTTGGAGATGATGTATTATGATACTTAAAATCAAAATGGTAAGTATTATCAAGAATAAAGTATACAGTGTGTGTTCATTCAATAAGATTTTTTTTTCATTTTTTTTTATACTAGTATCTTTTTCAATTTATACGATTATAAAAAGATAATATATATTGTCTCATACAGTGTAATATTTAATTTTCAGCACAATAATTTAGACAATAGTGTTAAATACTCCATCCGTCCAACTCCAAAGGGTAATAGATTAAAAAATAATACTCAATTCGTCCCACATAATTTTTTTTCTATTTTTTATTTTCATTCATCCTACATAATTTTTTATTTTTTTTTTTAGATATATAATTATATACTTTAATCATATTTTAAATTTTAAATATTATAATTTTTTTAAAAATCTTAATTAAACCATTTTGTTGTCTTAATCTTAGTCTATACTTATTTTTACTAATATATTTTTTAATTTCTTACTATACAACATATGAGTGTTGATAAAAATACAGTATTTCATATTTGTTCACTGTGTGTTTGTTCGAGGGTTTGTATTTTGAGTTGGGATTTGAATAGTAAAAATTTTGAATTTGAATAGTTGTACGATGTGATATAAATAGGTATTGATGTGATGTTTTGAATGTAAAATTGATTTTTAGTATAATATAAAAAATAAAAAATAGGTGTTTGATTTGTTTTTTTTTTCAGGAAAAAAAATGGGATGAATAATGTATTTAAAATTCAATCCTCCAAACAAATACACCCTTAGTGTTTTTAGGTAGTACAATTTCTTATAAATATTAATAAAAAATATAATATACATATATTAACACAATATATAATATATACTTGTTATATAAATCTATATTTTTTAACTATAATAAAAAATATTATTGCCTTTTTAAAATAAAATAATAGTATAATTTTTTTACTATAAAAATTAAAAACTATACTCTCTCCGTCCCATTTAGTTTGTCCATTCGTCGTGAAAAATATAATTATATTTATAATTTTTTTAATTAAACTATTTGTCATCTTAATTTTAATTTTAATCTATAATTATTTTTATTAAATTATAATTATTTTCACTAATATACTCTTTAATTACTTATTAATTACACAACATCTAAAATTTCGTACCTAAATTAAATAAGACAATTTAGCCAAGATGGAAAGAGAGAGAACATTAAAATTACTATTAGGATAAAAAAATAAAATAAAGCAAATAGTAAATAAAATTAAACTCTAAAAAGACATAAGCAAGCATTATCCTCTTCTTGGTACGTTCACATCAATGAAATGAAGCTTCTTTTTTTTTTTTTTTTCTTTTTTTTAAAGTTTGGGTATTATCATTATCATTATCATTATCATTATTTGACAACAAATTAAGTAATCATGTGCGTATGTAACTTTCTCCTTATTATCATCAAACGGTTCCATCTGGTACGTACAGTGTGCTGCTGTACGGTCGAGATTGTACCATATAGCTCTCTGCATTTCGGGACCGATTTTGATGTTTATTCATTTTCAATTTATTAAATATCGTATTATTTTTTATTTTTTTTTTAGTAAATGTATTATTTGTTTAACATTACAAATATCTTTACAATTTACAATATATTACACAAATATCATTACTTTTATATCACACATACTAACAAGGTTATTTTAGTCATTTCTGTTTTATTCCTACTATATCCCAATATAATACTAATATTTCTAAAACTACTTGCAAAAAGCAAATAGATACTTATTTTTGGGACTGAAGGAGTATCATTCATCTCAGAATAGATTAATCAACTTATATAAGAAATAGGAAGAATGATTCGAAACTAATTGTAATTATAATATATAGTGACCATATAATTTAAAAAATGAAAGCCATCTTATACATAGACTACAGAGAAACACAACATTGTACAAATTATAATGCTATTACTCGCGTGCGGTCCACAGCAGGAGCATGATCAACAATTGCTCAGGACCCCTATTAATTAATAAATGATCCATATTTTAAAAAAAATATTATCTACTATTATTATTAAATTTTAAAATTAAAATTTAATTTTTAGTTTATATGTTTTTTTCATAGTTATTCAATTTAATATAATTCTAACCATATATTTTTTTTTATATATCATTCTTTCTAACTACGGTTTCACCTTATCTTTTCAAATTTTATTGTTGTCTAAATTTCTTTATGTTGATATGCCTTGAATCTAGGGATATGATTTGGATATTAGGTATTATATTCTAGAGATATGATTTGGATATTAGATAATATATAATTTAGATATAATATCCAAATCATATCTCTAGGATATAATTGTTAGAATAGGAATACATGTCTATTTATAACATAAGTCTATGTCAATAATATCCAAATCATATATCTAAATCTAGCATATAATATCTAATATCCAAATCATATCTCTAGGATATAATACTTAATATAATATCCAAATCATATCCCTAAATTCAAGGCATATCAATAAATCACTTCTTGACTTGAATCCCACTCCAGATGCATCATTACAATGCCAGATGAACAGACTCCTCTATTCTGCCTCAAATTTGCTTATCCTCGGACAACTACCAAGATGCATCATTACAATCTCAGATGAACAAGTGGCAAACTAGCTTCAAGACATCTCTACCTTGACTTGAATCCCACTTCCAGATGCATCATTACAATGCCAGATAAACAAGTGACAAACTAGCTTCAAGACATCTACATCTTGACTTGAATCTCACTTCCACATGCATCATTACGATGTCAGATGAATAAGTGGCAAACTAGCTTCAAGGCATCTCCACATTGACTTGAATCCCACTTCCAGATGCATCATTACGATGCCAGATGACAGATTTCTCCATTCTGCTTTAGATTTGCCCCTCAGTTTTCCAGATAGCGGCGCCCACAAACCCTGTTGCTTCAGCAAAGATCGCATCTTGATCTGCCATAAGCCAAAACTATTCATCCCGGTGAATTTGTCAATCTTTACGTTGAAAGCAGACATTGTTGATCGACTTACGAAACCCTAACAGTGCGGAAATAAACAAAACCCTGATCGAAACGACCAGACTCTGATACCAGTTTGTTGTGACGGATTAGGGTTAATGATCGAATAACAAACAAAAAACGTAAATAAGACATATTTACGTGGTTCATAAAAAACGAGTTGGCTACCTCCATAGACAGAGTCGGAGAACAAATTTTATTGCCATAAGGCCAGGCCATGCGGCTAAGCGGCTCAAATCCTGCAATAAAATCTATTCTCCGTTTCTGTCCATGGAGCTAGTCAACTCGTTTTTGGTGAACCACGTAAATCTGTGTCTTATTTACGTTTTCTATTTGTTATTCGATCATTAACCCTAATCCGACACAACACTTTACCTCACAGTCGCATTGCGTCCACCAACTCATACCAAACCCGCCTCACATTCTCTTTCAGTCTTTGTTTTTCAAACTTTCGGACATACCATATTTCATCTTCTTTCCTCAAATTGATATTGTCCAGACAGCCACGTTCAACCTCTTGTCAAATCGACGTCAATCAGTGACATTATTTTAAATATATATTTTAATCATATGTTTATAAAGGCCTATAATTTATTTTCGCTCAGAGCCCCAAAAAAGTTCGAGACGGCCCTGGTATAACTACAAAGTAAACGTTGAGTCAAGATTAAAACAATACAACCATCGATATCATCCAAACCGTCTATAGTTGAAAGATGTTGCGCTTCTCGTCGTCTCGTACATTGACTTCTTCAACCAAAATATAGTGATATTAAAGGTCTCTCGTCCCATATAGAACAACAAAACAACTTCACCTATTTTAAATATAGATTGGACTCCATTATTTTTGCATGTTTGAACTTAGACTATATTAAAAGTCAAGATTGAGGTAATTTCTTGATCTATCAATTCTCTTTAAGCTATCGGTGGTGGGTTGAATTCATGTGCAATGCGATGTTCGAATTCTGTGTTATTTGATTTGATTTGACTTTTTTTGTTTGGATTTTCTACCATCTCATTTTTATGCTTTATTTTCCCAAACACCGACAAACAACACAAATTGTAGGAGAAATACAAACAAAAGATTAAAAAAAAAAAAAATCATGGAGAAATTGTGGATAAAGAGCATATAAGAGAATGAGTAATTATAACAAGGTAGATGGAACCCTAATTAAGGTCTAAAAAAAAAAAAAAAAAACAAAAGAATATGTATAGTGGTAGCTCAAGTGTGGCAAAGGTAACCCAAAGATATATCATATCATATCATATCATAAATGGGCTCATGCCCAACCATTAAGGCCCAAGGATGATAGGTCTACTAGCTTTCAACATTCTTCCTTAAACAAAATCTGTCACACATGGTTCGTCTAGTGTAATTTTTTCGTCGGGGCCTGATTTGCAGGAGATTAAGTTCGACCGGGGTTTACCCGTGTGCACTTTCAGATAGCGGCTGCGAGTTCCCACGTCATCAAAAAAATAAAAATAAAAATGAGTTGAAGCAACAAAAGTCTACAAATCGTCTAATTGACATCAACGAGTAATATCTTCTCGGACATAGTAACAATAAAGAGTCCGCTGAACTATTAGTAGAGATCAAAATTAACGGTCTTTTTGAATAAAATATCAAGTAGGGATCTATTATAATATTTTAATGTTAAAATAGGTAGGTAGGGATACTATGAGAAATTTGTTAAATGATTGGTAAAAATGTCGAGTAAATAAAAAGTAGTAGTAAATAAAAAAGTAGTGATCCATTAAAATATGAGTACTAAAATATGAATGAATAAAATTATTTATTATAAATAAATTGTGTATAAGTATAGTAAACAACCCAAAAATAAATATTAACACCATCTCACATTATGATTTTATGAATTGATTTGCTATTAATTGATAATGTTTTCATATCTTAAATATATATATATATATATAGATTGTACTCAGAAGCCAAAATAATTGGAGGCTATAAAACTTGTGTTTCCTCATCCGTTAGAAAAATAAAATGTAACATTGCCAAGGATATCAAATCTTCTCTGGATCAGCCAGAACAACCAATGAATGGCAGACGACACCGGCAGAAGTAGAACAATGATCAGTTAAGAAGCATCACTCCGATGCTGTACAAGAAACATGAAGACTTCAATCATCCTCGGGGTCGAAATCCTTAACCTTCACATCAGCATCTTCTCCATACTGAATGCAGCTGTCAATCTGCGACAGAATGTACTGAATGCTGCGTGTAGAGAGTAGGAAAAATATCGGATTAGTTCAAGGCCTACAATAGTCATAACCGACGCTAAAATTGTGCTTAAGATATATGGAGGTAGAGTATAGTGATCGCATGAATCATCATTTGGCAAATTTGGACAAAGTGTTGAAAGATTTTGGCTTTGTTCAATTGTATTTTCAACATTCCGTTCACCATATGCAATCAACAGTATAAATTATTTCGCACATAAAAATATCACATTCAATCTCTATTTTTAGCTCAAAGTAAATCAAATTCTAAACCACCAAAAAAGCCTAAACATCAAGATAAACAAGAAAACATACCCCAATAATTCTAGATCAACTTATATTACAAACAAATAATATAAAACATGTGACTTAACTAACCAGAAAAAAATTACCCATAAAGAACACATTCATTGCTCAAATACCTGTTGAACTGAAAATGAACTGGCCTGGGGATAACTCGTATTTCAATCAAGGAATAATAGTTACATCAAGCAGGATAACCATATTCATGTTATGACGTTGACTAGTATTAGTAATTGATCCACGCATGGTAGAAGGCAGGAGTTGACATTTTAAATTGTAGACAACTAAAGACACATTTGGTAAAACTGAATGCTAACCGTTGAATGCTTGATGCATTATGACTGTTTAGTTTTAAAGGTTATAGACTGTTTATTTGATAATTGTAATATTAATATTATACCATCCTTGAGAGTAAACATACCCTAAGTTGTTTGTATATAAATTTATTCAGTTGTTAGATGCTTTTCTCATACAGGTAACAGAACGTACCATTATTTAACTCAACTTAGTGTTGGACTTAATTTTACCTAGAAAATTCAGCCCTTTTGATTAATATACTAAGATACTTTTTTGGTAATCAATAATATTAAGAACTAAGTCACAGGTAGGATTACCGAGCAGACAAACAATTTATTTATGATACCTGCTACTACATCTGAACTATAATGTAACGTGATACAGGACTAAACTTACCTGCTCTCTTTTCTCAAGTCGAGAGGCAAGAAGCTCACCATACTGTACTGATCCACCTGATACCACAGAAAGCTAAGGCAGTTAGAAAACCTTCATAACCTACTGAAGAAGTTGAGCAGCGGTGGTCATCTACATAAACAAGCAAAAAAGCCCATCTGTACACGCTACAAACATACAAAAATTGATAAAACAATATGTAGAAGTTAAGAACGCATTGCTTGAGTTCCCAGGTGTGTTGAACTTCTTCCACCAAGTTTAACACTAGATAATTTCAGAATTGCCAAGTTCATTACAAGTTAATCACACAATGCTGGTTGCAATTGAAATTGTAGTAACTTCATTTGAAACTTACAACCACAACAGAACCTTGACTACGACGTTGAGGTTGTTACAAGAATCCAAGCAGAGGTATAAAGTTGCTATACCAAATTATTGCAAAGACATTTAAGTAGACTGACACAAACATTAAAGGCATACACGGTTCATTAAGAAAATGATCAATTATAATTGGAAAACATTCATGTTAATACTTATGCACTGTTACAGAAGTGACTGAGGTTCTGAACAATCATACCTAACAATTATGTTATTGCAATGTTTTCTGTAGATAAATTTCCAGTTTGAGAGATAAAGTGTTACTTTGCATTTTGCAAATAAATAGATATCATCTTGTTGAACGTACCAATTCAATTAAAGCTTTGTTCAGTTTCCCAAATTGTGGAGCCATGCGCTGATTTAACTCAGCCAACAGTGTCCGAGGCTCTGGATTTAAGTAACTAAGAGGTAAAAAGAACCAACATCAATTTGACAATAGTAAAGTAAATACAGATGAATGACAAATTGACAAGCTTTTTAAATTATAAGGAATATGAACTTTCTGAAATGCAAACAGCACTAACTTTTCAAGGTCCCTCTTGTTTGTCACAAGGTCCATCTTAGAGAGAATATTAACATGGGGTAGCTCCAGTTGAACCATGGCAGAGAGTGAAGCCATACAACCACTTATAAACTTGGTCACATCTGTTATAAACTAATACATGACAAAACATAACATTCTGTGAATATATAATAATAAATAATAGTATCATGCCAGTGGACAAAGGCAAACTACAATAAAAACCGACATACCTGTGAATCAAGCAAGTATACAGCACATACATTGAAACTTTTCCTGTTTAAATGCTCCACAAAGTTCTTAAGAACAGGCACATGAGAGAAGAGTTCTATCTGGCCTGTATGTAAGTAGGGGTCAGGGCATCAAAACTGCTAGCAAGATATAATTAATTAAAAATAAAACGAAAGGAAAGGAAAAGAGTGCAGAGCTGTATAAAAACAAGTGAGCACACTTGAAAATAATATGAAAACATACAAAATGGACATGAAAATACACATAAATGAGATATGATTTCTTTAGCATCTAAGCAGTATAGAAGCATTGGAGCCATCACATCATTGACAAGCATGGCCATTGACAAGGAAATTAAAAGAGGAATAAAATCTTACAAGTCGGAGTCGGTACATGTATTAAGCAATATTTCAGTTAAGGATAGTGACGTAAGCAATCAATAGGCAAACAGATGTGAATCTTTGTATGGGAATGTGTAACCAAGAACTTCTCACTGAAAATTATTTCCATAATATGAATTTCAAAATTTCACTAGTAAAAATGTTAAAAACAACAAGAATCAAATTCTTAGTATCAGACCAATCTGACGTTGGATCCAAGCAACTTCAGGAATAAATTTTATTTCTGATATTAACAAACTTGGGGGTTTCATCTCAAAAAATGCTCCCTTGTGATGTTAAATCATGTTCCAAGAAGTGTGAACCCTTTGGCATACCATTTTGCTATTAGTGCTGACTTTGATGCCTGGCTCTACGCCCCTTAGTGTTAGCTTATATCTAGCTCAAGTTAGTTCCTTCTTACTTCTAAGCTTCCTCTGTATCTTATCTTAAGCTCTCATCTATAAATAAACTTCTATTTTTCAAAACAAGAAAAAAGAAGTGTGTTGGAAATAGAGATACTAGACCAGTGATTGTATACCTGGGCAGTCAAAAACTAAATAATCATCATCCAAGTAATTATCCAACTCTGTAGTCAGCCAGTCATCCAAATTGTCTTCCAGCTGCCTGAGTACTGGTTAAGGTGTAACACATATACAATATCTTGGAACGAGGATTAAAACTGATTATCAGCTCACATCTCCGTTAAATGAAAATAGTTAAAGCTTGATTTTTAAGCACAGATATAATGAAAGGTGACATTGAAAAGAAGATAGAGGATGGTTTCACAGCACAATTGGATACTCCATACAATAAAGAAGGCCACCATTTGGACCCAATCCCAGCTCCTCCATGACTTCTTCTAGCGAAATGAATTCCCTAATATCTACAATGAAATTTTAATGGTTGAGAAAAGCCAGAATATGGCTAAGCAATAGTATAACTTTCAATACATTAATGTATACATATATATATATATATTGCCCAATCACTCACCAATAGCTACAGGATAATCAAAATCTTCAGCAGCAGGATCCAAGTTCACAATGTGAATCATTCGGCCAACAGTTTCACAATGCTTATACAAATTAGAACAGTAAGTAGACTGCAACAAGAGGTGAGTGACACAACAGTTTTAGAACAAGCATTCATTTATAATACATTAAACATTTACTGGAATAGTCATAATAATTGAATATGCATGTTTTGTGGTTCTGTAACACCTAGACTAAGTGATCCTTAGGTTGAAAAAAAATAATACAAACATAAAATTAGAGGGGCAACCTTTCCACTGCCAGCAGGGCCAATGACTAATTGTGCATAACCCATAATAGATTTTTCTTCTGGGTACGTGTGAAGATTCTCAAAATCAAATTTGAATGGAGGACGGAGAAAGTAAAGACCCAAAAGAACCCAAGAACTGCAACTAAAACGTCCCAACAGCAGCAAGAAATACCAAGCTCAGCACATTTTGCCTATAAGCAGCACCACAAAGTGAAGAATACATCAGTAAACCAGCAAAGTAACAGGTAAGAGAAAAACATAACTCAAATCATCTCTATCTTCAGAACAACTTCATGTAACATTGATATGTATGTCATGTAAACTGTTGCAAACAACATCATGCAATGACCATACATATGCTCCTGAAACAATCAAAACGACACACATAGTATTACAACAATTATTATCTGCCCAACCACTTAGTGCAAACATAGAACTTCCCCATAACAATAATAGAATTAAGAAAAACGTGTGTGTTCACCTAACCAAAAAATATACACGCTTTCCGATTAATGTTATTAAAAATATAATACTTCCTATGTCCCACTGAAAGGTTGTCATTTTCCATTTTTGTTAGTCTAAATACAAGGTTATCATTTCCTAATTTAGTAATTGTACTACATACCTAACATAATAAATACCCTTCCAACTTACACTATATTACAAAAATGCCATTACTTTTATATTACACAATAATATAGGGGTATTTTTCGTCTTTTTCACTACAACTCATTATAATACTAATATTCAAAAATCTACTTACAAAAAGTAAACGGCAACCTTGCACCGGGATGGAGGGAGTATATACATACTCATCCAATATATATACTCTATCCACTAGTAATAGCCACACTTCTGCATATCTAACATTTAAATAGAATTTTAAAAAAAAAAAAAAACGACTTCAAACTAAAAGACTAAACAAATACATAGTCTGCAAGAACATAATTTGTCTTTTAATGTTTTAATTGACTTTGATAAGCCTTTATGTCTATGTTGTAAATGCTTAAGTCATCTTATAAGTGCCAACTCTCATACACAAAACAATAAATAAAATTAAAACTACACATTGAAGACAACATATCCCCATTATGACCTAACGCATTAAGAGGGAGATATCTCCATGGATGCAAGTTCCACACTTAATAAATGAAAGTATGATAAAATGGAATAGAAACATCATTCCAATATATGAAAACCTAAAAAAAATCTGATGAATTAATTGATCTAAGACAAACTACGCCACCAAAAGGGGAGAGTAAGTGCTGGGCACATCATCTCAGATTATCACTTCTACTCTTAGCATTATATTTTAGCTATGCTTGGTAGTACGATGAAATAATACTTCGGTGATGATTCTGTACTACTATAATTTCTAGACCTAGTGCTGATCTAACAATTTTCAAGAAACCACAAATTACAGCTAACATGCCAAGCACGTATGCTCTTCCGCTAACTTTGGTAAACCAACTGAATATCAATTTTAAATTGTTGCAGTCTTGCGGAGGGCAGACTACACATTTAGCTTAGCCACATATGTTTTCGAAAGGTTAATGTTCAAAGATGTGTGAGGTCCTATCCTACGTTTACAAAACCAAAGTCGGGCTTCAGGTTGACCTCCTGATGCCATCAATGACCAAGTGATTGATTCTAATTCATCAAGATATTCCCCACTTACAAGATTCTTCTTTTCCCATTGATATCACTTGAATAGAAACAACTGAAGCATCTCTCTACCACCAAACTTCAACAGATAATAAAATTATAAGAAAGGTTCCATCACTAATGAATACAACATTACTATAACCTATTCAGCCAGAATAACTGCTCATCATCATGCAATTTAATGATGGAAAAACTTTTGAAATAGATAAATAAGTAATTTTTGCAGTTCTGAACGGCTAGAGTTGTTTACTCACAATTTTGAACAGATGCAACTCAACCACTTCTCTGACCTCACGCAAATGCTCAACACACAAACTACGTGATGAGGTGACAGTGAAGCCAACGTCCCGGCGGGCTAAAGAAGAGTGAAACGACAGCGAAGGCGATCACCGGTGGGAGTATCAGCGGGGGCAGAACAAGAAAAAAGGAAGATGGGCAAGAGACGATGGGAAAAGATGTTAAAAACAAACCCAATACACTTCACCACCGGCTAGAGCAGCAGCCGCAGAGGGGAGAAAGAAGAGGAGGGGGAAAGGAGAAGAAAAAAAGAGATGAATACGAACAGGGAAGAAGAAGGAAAAACGAAGGAGAACAGAGAAAATTGGGAAAAAGAAAGAAATAGTGAGGAAGAAGAGAGGTGAGGTGGGTAGGGGCATAGGGCTGTGTTGGGGTAGGGTTTGGGCCTGTCTTTTTTTTTTTTAATAAATATATAATTAAATTATTACTCCTGTTGTGCGATAAAATTAACCTATTTGAAGAAAAAATAAATTAAAAAATAAATTATTAAAAATGATAAAGAAAAAAAAATAATTAGAAGTATATTTCTAATTAAATTAAAAATTAAATAAATAAAAATATATAATAAAATATTAAAATTTTTGATAAATAAATATGGAATAGAATGTAATAGTTAAATTTTTGTGATTTGTTAAATTTTGTGATTTGTTAAATTTTATTAAAATAGTATATTTGTTGGTATTTAATAAAATATTATATAACAAGGCATTTTTTAGTTTAAAATGTCCTATTTTATTTTTAATAAATAGTATTTAATAAATATAAATTAATTTGATTAATTTCATAACATATAGTAATAAATTTGAAATCACTCAAAATTCTTCTATTTTAATATTTTTTAAATAAACAAATATTTTACTTTACATTTAAAATTTTCTATTTTTTTTATAAAATTAATTTATGTTAATTTATAAATATATTTTTTATTTATTTAAATTATATATTTTTTATTAAAATATAAAATTTTAAAATATTTAAATATATAGTTTAAAATTTCTAATTATAGTATTATTTTTATTTTAAAACTACTAAAAATACCATTAAATTTTTTTAAAAAAAATTACTAATAAAATAATACCATAACAAATAATATTATTGAATATAAAAAATTGGTTGTTGTTTAGCAAGTGTTGACAAACAAGCATGTTCTTTGGGGTAAGATTTTAAGAATTTATGGTGTTCATTATTAAAAGCCATTCTAATGATTCATACGAAAAAAAAAATCTCAAAAAATTCAAAAAGATTGATATTTGACCTACGTGTGGCCTTTAAATAAATGAAGGTTACTGAAATGAAAGACATATGCACAATGGCTCATAACTATTTTTATTTCAAGTATTTAATACTTTCATCTGTCTAATTTAAAATATTATTTTTATTATTTTTGTTCGTTCCGTACAAAAGTATTTATTTTTTTAGTAAAAATAATTATATGATAATACTAAAATACTCTTAATTTTTATTTAAACTATAAATATATCATTACACACATAATTACTTTATATAAATAAAGTCAAATGACAAAAATGTTAAAACTTCTTACATATTTCACTAACCACTAAAATACCATTTTTTAATATACTACAAAATTACAAAGGACCCATTTCATAAGGAACAGAGGGAATAGGAAGTAGATATTGGGGAAAAACCAAGGGTTGAGCGAATTAGTGTCTATTTTTATTGGTTTGGCGAAATTTTTGTTAATTTTTATAATTTTTGTGTTTAATTTTTAAATGGAAATGTTCTTATTTGATGGTGATGATCAGCCGTGTTGATTGGTGTATTTCTTTGCTCATTTGTCTTTAATATTGACAGATTTTTTGTCAAAATTGCAATGTTCGATAAACATCCAATTTTATAAATGCATTTTTAGGTGTACTATTTTTATTTTTTTTTTAACTTATAACTTTAATATAGGCAATTAGTTCCTGATCAATGTATAAATTTCACATATTATTGTATCTATTTGTTTGAAAAATCCACATTTTAGCACCCTCCTCGAACGTGGTTAATTATTTTGTTCCACATATGGAACGAAGAACAACATGACAAGTTTTAGAAGTATTTGTGTTACGTACCACTAATTTAGAATTTACTGTTTTTTGTAGTATAGATAATTCTTACTTTCTCGAAGGACTGAGTATTACATAAACGACAAGATTACAAAGGCTTCGTTATGATATGAATGATGGCTTTCTTTTAATTTATAAGTCTTATGCTTAAGGGGCAAAAATATGACTTAATGGATATGCATGAACATATAAACTTATATATCGAAACTAAATTTGGCAATCTCTCATTGTTATTTATGTCAAAAATAAAAAATAAAAAATGAAGATTATTATTTATATTTTCTCAATATTAGGTCCTGCCATATTGAATTGCCCCATTCAATATGTTGTGGAAAATAAATTGTTCTCAAACTTTCAAGAAGCAAAAACAATTCATGTAGATAGTGTTATAAATGGTGTTATAAGTGTGAATCATGTAAAAATAGTTGTGTTGGGAAGATGATGTCAATGAAATAAAATATCGTGCGTCTGATATGAAAAGAGAAATTTATTTCTATGAGGTAAATCAAATTCTACGTCAAGGTATTCAAGTAAGAACAATGAGATTCGATATTTATGTTCGTACTCCAGCGAAAAGCGTTAAAAAATGGCAAGAAAAATTACATAAAGTATTATTTGAGCAATTTCAATTTTTTTTTTATTTCAATATTCATTATGGTATGTGTGTTTATTTTACTTTGTAAGGTCAATTGATGCTTCTTTCAATTGACAAAGCCAACATCATTTGAATATAATATGTGATGTAGGAAGAATTGGTATAGATAAGAATGTGTAGCATAGATTTTAACATGTTATGTAGGACGGATTGCTATTAATTTTGATTGCTATTAATTTTGAGTCCATTTGATTTATGTAGTAGGACGGATTGGTATTAAGTTCAAGGGGCTTAGATTTGTGTAATTTAATTTCATGGTGTGGTACGTGTTGTTATAGTTGGATTTATATTTTAGTTTGTCTCCAACAACCGTGGTAATCATCGATTCAGTGGTGGCATCAAGTTTGTCCGGCGGCAACAGGGTAGTCCGAGAGCAGAGGGAATTTTTTTTTTTTTTTTTAATGTAAATTTGTATTTAATTTTTTTTCTTATTTTTTAATGTAATGCAAGAAACAAAGCACTATGTCGCTGGCCGATAGACACCCCATGCCAGGACTGCCTCCACCGGAAATAAGGGCTCTCCGACCAAACTCGCTCTAATTGTTGCCGTCTGTCTGCTCGGTCTTATCCTCCTTGTCCTCCTTCTCCGCCGGTCGAAGAAACAAAAGTCCAACCTCGGTCAACTGGAAGCCACTCCCGTCTGGCAGCATCAACCACATTACGCCGTCGCTGCAAGAGAATTAATCACCGAGGCGGCAACACTCATAAACGCCGCCGCCAAAAAGTCCGACCAATCCGACAAGGAGATGGCGGTGGCGTCGGAGAATGGAAGTGCCACCGTTGATAAGCTGCTGCAGATCGGTATAGCTTGCTGCGATGAGGATTTTTAGCACTAAGACAGTTTAAATAAATGGATGAGTAAATGTGATTATGGATAATAAAAGTAAATGAAAACGTGGAGTGGAGTGAAAAATAAATACGTGAAAAAATACCGATATATTTTATCTATAAATATTTTTTTGCATTTTAATTATATGTAAACTTAGATTTATATATATATATATATATTTGTTTACTTTAGATTGATTGTAACTTATACTCCCTCCATTTAGAAGAGTTATATTTACTTTTGACGCGGTGTTTAAGAAATAATAATATTTTAATTATAGTGAGCAGTTAAAAGTAGTGTAATGACATTTTTGCCCTTACTTTTTTGTGTAAACGTAATGATGTGATGTAAAATAAGGGTATTTGTGGAAAAAATAGGGTATTTAATGAAATGTATACTTTGTAATTGGACGTCCCAAAATAAAAACATGTAAATTTTGTAAGCGGACGGAGAGAGTATATTCTAAGTTTTATTAATTTTAGATAGATGTAATTTATTAAATTAGGTCACATTAAATAATTAAATAGGATATTTTTTCTTAAAAAGAAATTAATTTATAGACATTATATAATTTAATATAAATTAGTGTATGGATATAATGTCATATATATATATACTATTGGATTTGTATAAAAAAACATACATAGAAATAAGTATAATTTTGCACAAGAAAAAATGCTATTAATTTTATCCCGAAAAAATAAAATAAAAAAAAAGAAGAAATTTGTATATTATTGAAAGTAAAAAGAACACGTTGAGATTTCGGTGTCTGAAATGAATTTGATGCTCCAAATTTCAACCCCAATTGGATGGTAATTAATAAATGTAACCTCAAAAGTACTAAGAGGGACATGATCGACATGAGTAGCTCTAACCGTCATGAATACCAAGAAAGTTCCGCATCATCGAAGAAGCCATCATGGAAAATCTCACCTATTGCTTTGAATATTGATCTCCGTAGGTCTGAATCTTCACTTCATTCAAATACCAGCCATATGAACTCTAGTGCACTAGCATCCGAAAATCATGTATTCACGAAGTTCTTTCATGATTTGTTTCGAGATAATGTATACTTTCGGAATTTTTTGGTGACTTATTTCGAGACAATTGAAAATCTTTGGGTACTTTTTTGTGATTTATTTCGAGATAATTCATAGTCTCTGAATATTTTTTGTGACTTATTTGGAGATAATTCAAACTCTCGAAGTATTTTCGTGAGTTATTTCGACACAATTTATGCTCTCAAAATTTTTTCCGTAATGAATTTCGAGACAACATATCTTCACAAGTTTTTCCGTAATTCATTTCGAGACAATGCATACTCTTGAAAAAATTTTGGCGGCTTATTTCGAGACAATTCTAAATCTCGGGGGTTTTTTCCGTGTCTATGTCAAGACAATATTTACTCTAAGTGGTGTTTCGAGAGAAAGATGTAACAATGTATTGTTATGAACTAATCTTCGAAATTATGGTCAAGATAACGTGTCGCTATAATATCACAAACTATGGTTGAGATACTGATTTGTCTCGAAAAAAAATTCTATGCCACACTATTGTCTCGGTGGTTTTCGCTGAGACAATTTTCTGAGACAATGTAACGCTTTTTTGGTAGTGAAATGACAACAATTTAAATATGTAAGTCAAGAGATTATAAAAAAAAATGAATCTGGATTATGAGCAATAGGTCATAAATAATGGAATGAGTTGAACCAAAATCTAGGGCCAAAATATCAATGACGAAATAAAAGCTATAACATAAAAATTAATAATTTTTCTCACATATAGGTATAATTTTCTTCTAAATTTATTTTTATTTTTACTTTATTATGAATTGTGAATATTTATTTACAATATAGCTTTTTTTTTTCTTTAATATTAATTATGCCTATAGTTTGTCTTTTTTATCAATTAACTTTGGCTATTTTTATATCCAAATTTTATTGTCAAAAGAAAATTTATTGTTTAAAATATAAAATTAAACTAAATATCATATTATATAATTAACCATGTAGTAGCGGATTATACACTAATATTATATTAATTACTAATTTCTTACTATTTTTAAAATTCTAAAATTACAAAATCTTTAAAAAAATATTTGTCTAAAAAAAACATAAATCTCCACGTCGACAAGAAAAAGTAAATTGCAAAAAATATCCTACATTTATATCTTATTATCAATTTTGTCCTGTATTTATCTCATTGACAAAATATATCCCATATGTTTACAAAAGTCGTTATTTATATCATTTTATTGCGCGTGAAATTCACACCACGCGCCCTTACGTGCAATCACGCGAGGCCACGCGCGGTCAAATGATAAAAATAGCAATTTTTAAAAATATGTGGAATATATTTTACCAAAAAAATAAATATAAAATAAAAATAATAATAAGGTATAAGGGTGGAATAGTTTTTGCAATCTTCCCCGAACTTATCCTCTCAATCCATGAATAAATAAAGTAGTACAAAGCCCAACCCATGAATAATCAATCATACATTCATATCATATAATGCAACGACAAATTTTGAACAAAATTATTTATTATTATTACAATAAAATAACATAAATTCTTTCTAGTTTGGGAAAGTCCTTATCTATCATGTGACACGTCGTATATCATATGGTACATCCTCTACACGCCTTTATCCACAGCGTTTCGTATCCAATCAATACACGACACTCTAACAGATCATATTTATATATAAAATCATTATAAATAAAAAAATTTTATTTATCTTTAATATTAATTATTATATCAAAATATAATAAAAATTAAAAATATTTGCAAAAATATTTATACTATTAGAAGAACATTTATAGGACAAGTTAACGGACGGATAGAGTATAGCTTAGTTAAAGGTTGAACAAGTTTTCTGTTTATTTATTTATTTATTTTATTAACAAATATGTGATTTTGAGTTTGATATTTTTTTTTAAAAAAAATTAATCAATATATGTTTTTTCAATATTATATTTAATATTATTATTATTATAAAAAAAACCATTAATTTTAACTAAATCACTAAATTCAAATTTTAACATTCTTTAATAACAAAATTTTAATATTCAAAATTCAAATTTAAATTCAATACCCACAATCAAATACTTTATTTATTTATTTTTTAAATATAAGTAATGTATATATATATATATTTAACCCTAAAAAGTGTTATACTGAAGTATTTTAAATTTGAAAATACAAAAAAAATAAAATTAAAAAAAATGTTAAATACATTATTTCAAATAAAAAAATAATAGATAAAAATAGATTTGGAAATAAAATTGAAGATACCAAACAAGGTGGTTTAACTTTAATGTACGCTAAGTCATTCAAATGTATTTTTATTTTTTTATTTTTCATCTAAATTTATTTCAATTTTATTTTTTTAGTAAAAGAATATCACTTTTCTTTAAAATAAAAATAAAAATTTTTATTTTTACATTTTTCTAAAAGAAAATTCGTACCCGATAAAATAAACACACAATTGCATGACTATTATTTAATCTCTCATATTTTATGAAAAATGCAAATTTGTTCACTTATTGGTACATGCACCTAATACAATTATACAATATATATATACATAAAAATCATTATTTAATACAAAAAAAGAATATTCATATTTTTTAATAAAGTAAATTTTATTTATTTTTAAAAATAATAAAAATAATAGAAAAAACTACTTCACTCAAATATCATTTTTATAATTTAAAATAAAAATAATATTGATTTGAATTTAATTTTTTTAACATAAATTTTAATTTAAATAATATTTTTAACGTAATATAGAAACAAAAACATGTGCAAAATTTTTGGTAATATAAACACACCCATGTGTGTATTTGTGTGGTGAAAACAACTAAAAACTTTACATTTGCATAATTGGATTGCTCAAAGAAAAGCGGCTGACGCAGACATTTGGACGAGGAAATCGCATACGAATCGGAAAACTGATCCGATCATCTCTGAAGGATTCACTTTCTGCAAGTAAACCAGTCAATCTTGCTACTTTTCATGGTTTTTTATTTATTTACTCTTTTTCCTCTTAATGCTGTTCCTTTCGTATGAGTTCATTTTGGGGGTGTCTATTGGTAGTCTTTCTGGTACGTGATCGTTGCTGATGATGTGGTCGATCCTCTGAAAAACATAAGTACAGCTTGTCTTTCTAATGCTGACCCGGAATTGTAGCAGAGTACTCTTTTTGGAAGGTGTTCTTGTTGTGCAGTTTGATGTTTCGTGATTCTTTTTGCCCATGCATGTTTAATTGAGTAGCCATTCGTAATTTCCTTCTTTTTGTTGTACTGGAAAATTGCAATGATTCAGTAATTTGTGCTTCTGTTTGCCGATGTGATGCTCCGAGTGATGGGTGGTTTTTAATCATCAGAATTTTATGTTTTCCTACGAGCTTGAATTTTGGAAAGTTTTCTTTGCCTGGACTTGGAAACGGTTGATCGTTGTGGGTAATGATACGAACATGTCAAGAGATGGTTATAAATATTTTGGAGTTTTAGAATATAGGTAACATCTTTAGTACGTTTGAATTTTGGTACAGAATTCAGAAGCATGGCCGACGGTGTACTGAGATCATTTTAAGCAAGCAGTTTACAAGTTCGATTTAAGTGGACATTTGATGTTCTCAATTTTATTTTGATTTCATCCCTGAATAACTAAGCTGTTTCTATCTGCGTTACTGCAGGGTCTGCAGGGTCTGTGATTAAGTTCACTTTGGGTTTTGAGTTCATTCATTTTTCTTAATAGTAGTCTGAGGTGAAGGTTAGCAATTGAGGTGCAATTCTTGCGTTATAATGTTATGCTTCAAGAACATTTTCTTTAAATGGTGACAGATCCAGTTGGGCATCTACATGTAAAACATATGAAATTAAGAACTTAAGCTCTGATTTTCTTGTTTGCTCAGGTTGTGTTACGCCATGCTTGGGAACGGAGTTGTTGGAATTCTGTCTGAGTCAACAAACAAATGGGAAAGGAGGGTCCCCTTAACCCCGGCACACTGTGCTCGGCTTCTGCATGGAGGCCGGGGTGAAACTGGAGTTTCTCGCATAATCGTGCAGCCATCAACAAAGCGTATTCATCATGACACACTCTACGAGGATGTAGGTTGTGAGATATCAGAGGATTTATCGGAATGTGGCACAATTTTGGGTATCAAACAGCCAAAGGTGGTTTAGATTGCTGTTCCCTTTGGTTCCCTCCTCAATCCTTGTGCTAAATACTATGATAATCAGTCTAAGCTTCAATTGGTGCAGTTGGAGATGATACTTTCTGACAGAGCCTACACATTTTTCTCCCACACTCACAAGGCACAGAAAGAAAATATGCCTCTTCTTGATAAGGTGTGTTTCTGTGCAATAAATAAAAAAACTTTTGGCTGGCCTCTGCTTCAAGCATAACCTTCATATTTTGTAGATTTTGGCAGAAAGGGCCACTTTATTTGATTATGAGCTTATAACTGGAGATCACGGTAGAAGATTACTGGCTTTTGGAAAATTCGCTGGAAGAGCTGGGATGATTGATTTCTTGCATGGCCTAGGGCAGAGTAAGCATCGTAACGCTTCTTGAGAGGTTTACTTACTTTTGTTTCAGATGTGCATACTTTTTTATAGATATTTCTGCATACTTTTATGAGAGAGTTAAAGGCTTACATACATGAATCAATTTCCTGCTCCATTGCAGTCTGGCGCACTTATTTTTATCAAAGGACAATAATGCTTGATGTGGGAAGCAACCATATGATTTTTTATTTGCTTTATATGAGCAACAAGAGAAATATTCAATGTCCTCAAATGCTTATGCCCTGAAGATGACTCTTTGGGGTTGTGTTTTTGGGTTTCACAACTTGAACTTTAATGTTACCCCTGACGAGGGTAGCCAACATGTTTAAATTTTAATCTGATTTAATTCTGAGTTTTTCTATTTTTTATTTTTATTTTTAACTATACTCCCATATTAATACCAGAATCTAATTTGAGACTTGAGAGCATGAGGCTAGCATATGATCACTTCTGTTTATTTGATTTTTGCAGGGTATCTTAGTCTGGGATACTCAACACCCTTTCTGTCTTTGGGAGGATCATACATGTATTCTTCTTTGGCTGCTGCAAAAGCAGCAGTAATTTCTGTGGGGGAAGAGATATCTACAATGGGACTCCCATCCAAGATTTGTCCCCTAGTTTTTGTTTTCACTGGCTCTGGAAATGGTATGACAAACTGCTAATTTGCCTTGACAATTTTTTTTGCCTGAGAACTCCTGGATATGTATGCACCTCAACAAATATATAATTAGGATACCTTGAATCAGTACCATTTTCTTCACCACTCTTTACCATAGTTCCCTGGATTAATTTAGTTGATAAAAAAAATCAAGCATTCCTTTAATGGCCCAGTCAATCTAACGACTCCTTAGATGGCAATAGTATGTCATGATACTTGTTTGAACACACAGAGTACTGATTAAACTCATGATTTATTTATTTATTTTTTGACACTATGCTTATGTTTGTACTTAAAGTTAGTTACTTTATGCAGTCTCTCAAGGAGCACAAGAAATATTCAAGCTTCTTCCTCACAAGTTCGTGGATCCAGGCAGACTTCCAGAACTATTTGATGCAGTAATTTCATTGAATTCTGCACAGACCACATATTTTGTGTGTTATCTGCTTAATATTTCTCATAGTACCCATGCATGGAATTTTCATAATAATTTTCTATTTGAGTAAAGCACTTCAGTTCACATAAGTTCATTGAAAACCAAATCCAGGGAGTTGTTTGTAATTAACATTTAACAGCTCAATGTCAAAAGTTTCAAATAAATTGTTTCTAATAATTACACATTCTTGGCACACTCAACAGTGAGTTTTATGAGTTAATTTTCAGAATGGTGCACCCAAGAGCCCATTTGTATCATATTGTGTCTTCAGCTTCATAAGCATATTTCTAGCACTCTATTTGCAATAGATTTCATGGAGTTAGTGTCAGTAGATTGCCCTGATTTAGGTTACTTCACTTTATATAGCCGCGGCTATGTCCTGTTTGTTCTGCAATAAATCTGTTATATGCATAGGATCCTTCTATAAGACGAGACGATCTCAACACTCCCATTTCATTACCATCATTGAATTCTCTTAAAATGAAAATATCAATGATATTCTACATGATGTTGCAGATTATAACCATTGCTTAAGTTTGGTGCTTTATATCCTTGACCATATATTTGCTAATCTTTTAATTCTTCTACTTATGTTCTCCATCTCTCCTGTTTACATGATAAGGTGTTCCTCACAGTGTATACATCCCATATATTTACTTGTCTGATATTGAAATTCGTTTTGTAGGCTAATGATTCTAAGAAAGTGGGAAGAACTTCAAAAAGAGTATTTCAAGTATATGGTTGTGTGGTAACTAGTAAATACATGGTGGAACATAAAGATCCTTCCAATGTCTTTGACAAGGTGAGGTCTTAAGCTCTAGGTAACATCTTTCGCTGTTTCTTGTTTAGTTATGCATGTATTAAAGAGCTGCTCCTATTAATTTATGTTATTATAGAATAAGAGTGCACAATAAGAATCTTCTTCTTCTTCTCCATCTTGTCAGGCTGACTATTATGCACATCCAGACAACTACAGATCTGTTTTCCATGAGAAAATAGCCCCATATACATCTGTAATTGGTTGGTATCCATTACTCATGTGCAAGTATTCTTAATGAATTCATTTCTGGTATTGTGTTATTATTGCTTTGATTATTATAGCTGATGAAATTCATCGTTCAAACTGCGGGAGAAATATCTTTTATATTTATTTCCTGATTGACTAACAGTTTATAATATCTTTTATATTTCATTTTTCAAACTGCGGGAGAAATATCTTAAGCTGATAGACTATATATTTAGGGTTTCTTCATATAAAATCTGAAGGTTGAAAACATTAAAATTGTTACATATCTTTTATAATTAATCCTTATTTGAGCAATAGTAATACAAAACTAATTCTTATTCTTCTCAGAGATTCCTGTTGCTTGTTTTTCTCCTTTCATGACTCCTCCTTTCATTTTGTTAGATTGCGTGAAATTGTCTGGGCTATTTGGCAATGTTGCCTTGGAAAGAAATGCCATGGCTTCAGAGTCAATCAACTTTCTAAAGGTTTTCTAGCAGGAATTTCTGTCATTCCCCTGCTTTCTAGTTTTTCTCTATTAATCATTGGCATAGTATGGCTAATGATGTTGCTCAACTCAGCATTTAAGACTTTTAGAATCTTTCTGGTCTTACTGCATCAACATGGATTCTTTTTAATTCCAATAAGAAGGGCTGAACTCAATCATATATCTGTAGCTCAATCTCTTCTTCTGCATGTGTTGCACTCCTCTAGCAGTTAGTTGTTTAGCAGTACTTTCAGAACATGCTAAAATATATTTTCTAAACCCCATTTATGTCACAAACATTACTCTAGTCAAGTCATTGATTCTTGCCATACGTCTTACTGTTTTACTTCAACCTTTCGTGTTCTGTCTCTGGTGCCCTGAATTCATGGGAATTTTTTAATTCCCATAATTCACTCCTACATGAGTTGATGGTCATATTGAATGAGGCAAGGAAGTGCCCTTTTCAAGTCTTCCTTGGATTTAGGAATCACAGAAATCTGTAATGTATTCTTTCACTAGTCTGCATCTAACACTCTAATTTATTGCATTGTAATTTGGATTATCCCTCCGCATCCTTGTCTCAATATAAAATCAGGGAAAAATTATGTGATTAATGTTGAACTCTTATGCTCTCTTTCAGTCAATTGTATGTACTGGGAAAAACGATTTCCTCGGCTATTGACTATCACACAACTGCAAGACCTGATGAAGGGAAAGTGCTCACTTGTTGGAATCGCAGATATAACTTGTGATATAGGTGGATCGATAGAATTTATTAAGCAAACGACATCAATTGATTTACCTTTCTTTAGGTAAATATATTGACCTGGCTTCCCTCCATGAATTTCCGGGCTTCACTTTCTCTCTTGCATTGCATTTTCACTTTCCTTCAACATGAATTTAACTGTTACCCTTACAGAGAACCATGAGTATGCACATGACCATGATATCTAGCAAAGTGTTCAAGTTTGTACCGTAAAGTCAAGTTAACCTAATGTTTCTGATATGACAACTTTTATTTCCCCTCACTTTAGTTGGGTGTTAACTTTTTCTTTTCTTCTGAACTTGTTTATAATGTGTTGAAAGTTGGAATCCAGATATGATCCTCATGATAATTCATACCATCATGAGATGGACGGAAATGGCATCATCTGCTCAGCTGTTGACATTCTCCCAACTGAGTTTGCAAGAGAGGTTCCATGACTTACTGCTTGACTTTCCATAAATTTGATTCTGAAATATATTGAAGCACATCGGCTTTACAGACTTCTAACTGTATGGTTGATTATAGGCTTCCCAGCACTTTGGAGATATTCTCTCCCAGTTTATTGGAATCTTGGCTTCTTCAAACTCCTTTGATGACTTACCTGCCCACTTAAAGAGAGCTTGCATTGTTCATGGTGGTTCACTGACCTCGTTATATGAATACATTCCAAGAATGAGGAAGTCTTTGGAGTAAGTTGTAGATTCAATCTTCCCCAGAGTGTTTGCTCATAGGGCTTTCTTATCTAACAATTTTAATGGAAATTTGAATACATAAGGCCGTAATCATATTGGAAATATATATGGACCATTAATTTTCATGGAATGGAGACTCTATTTATAGAGTGAGCATTCCTATACAGCTATACAATAAATAGAAAAGGTGTTTAGCATTGAAGAACTATAGTCCTGACACTGATGATAATTTTAGAACTATAAAGTTGAAAAATAAATGTGAAAAATATAAATATATTTTCTTGTAATAGGGATATACCATGCTCATTCTCAACTGCATTACATTCTATTTTTGAGCAAACAGATGGAATCAAAATCATGAGAAGTGTCTTTTAGAATAATGGGTTATCTATGAGTTTAGTTATGTGGTTTTGATGACTTTGTCTTTATAAGGTTCCATTTGTACTTTGCTCCCGTTCTATGCTTTTAATGGTACATGGGACATAGTGGTTTTGTTGTTTGTCAGCTAGAGTGGTGATTAAGTTTTTGCTTGCTTAACTTGTTCATTCGCCTCGAGTTAGTCTCCAAACAATTGATATATATGGTTCTCCTTCTCTGGCCTTTTGTGATTGCTTTTTCTTCCTTGGCAGGGATTCATCACAAGCTCAACCATCTTTGCAGCTGGCCAAAAAGAAGCACAGTACTTTGGTAATTTTTACTTGATTATGTGTGTGTGTCATCATCTTTTCTTTCAGTCTTTTCTTCTATACCTTTCAAATCTACTTGTCTTGACTGAGAGGGTGGAAAAGTTTCCCTTTTAACATTGAAATAAAGACCAGATCCTTGTCACAATATGATGCTTGATTATTTTTATTTTCTCTTGCAATTTAATTATATTTTTTCTTGATTAAATCACTGTTTCATTTAAATAGTCCAATTCATATTTCTAATGCTTCTGCTTAGCATCGCTGTTGCTAATCCTGTAGATCTCTTTAAGCGGGCACTTGTTTGACCAATTCCTGATAAATGAGGCATTGGATATCATTGAAGCAGCAGGTGGCTCCTTCCAGTTGATTAAATGTCAAGTCGGTCAAAGCACAGATGCTATGTCTTATTCAGAACTCGAGGTATTATTATTATTATTATTAATTTATTGCAAGATGTGGCTTTCTTTCTTTGATGCTTTATGCTTATTCTGTCTCTGCAATGTTTATTCTATCCTGTAAAGTAAAAGAAATCATTACCAATACATGATAAGCAGAATCATTAGAATAATCTGAGGTGGTCCTAGACATCACATCAAAATATCTACTTAATTTGAATGTATTATGTCAAGTCTCATATTAAGGTTTCATGATTTGATTTTATTGTTTTGTATCCAAATGAAGCAACACGTTTTTTTAGGGTGTATGTACTTTGAACTTTGGAGAGATGTTGTGGGTGTGTTCTTCTGACCATTTTTCTTTTAAACTATGCAACTAATAAACAAAACATTACATCTAAACCATTATTAACAAAAAAAAAAAAAAAAAAAAAAAAAAAAAAACAATACAACATTAGATTTTGAATAAGATGATGAGATAATATTTGTATAAGTATTGAGATATATTTGATTTTAAATACTTGCTAAATCATTTTAAAAATTATAGTTCAATAAAATATATTGGATATTGATATATAAAAAATAATCAGTGAATAACGTCCAAACAGTGAATATACACTGAGGATTTATAAGATTATAAATGGTTGGGTCCCACACTGATAAAAAGTTTTTTAAGATATAGTGTGGGGTGGCATTTGAAATGCCAAAAACTTCTTTCCTGCTTAATTGACAGCTGCACACTTTTCTCACAGGTTGGCGCAGATGATAAAGCAGTCTTAGATGCAATTACTGATTCTCTAACATCTCTTGCCAATCCAAGGGAAGGAGAGAGTAAAGATAATAGAGTATCTTTCAAGGTTGGGAAATTTAGAGAGACTGATAATATGGAGGAAAATGGAGTAAAAAGGGAAGCTGTTGTCCTGATTTTAGGTGCTGGACGAGTATGTCGACCAGCTGCAGAATTTTTGTCCTCTATTGGGCGTAGTAGTTCATCAAAAAACTGGTTGAACTCATACATGATTGATGGCTCAAAAGAGAGGACACTTTTTCGTGTTATTGTTGCTTCACTTTTTCTAAAAGATGCTGAGGAGGTTGGACTAACATACTGGAATCTATTACTTAGATTTTCTGCTAGCCTCCTGGTTATTGAAGATGTCATGAAATTTTCATGTGAACTATCATTTGGAGCAGATAATTGAAGGAATTCCAAATACAACTGCAGTTCAACTTGATATTAGCAATGAGGAAAAACTCTGCAATTACATATCACAGGTAACCTTATGAAGTTGTTCCATGTCTTGATTTGGATTTTTGGTTCTTGATTTGGGATGAATGATTTCATCACAGTTGTCTGCAGGTTGATGTAGTAATCAGTTTACTGCCTGCAAGTTGCCACAGTACCATAGCAAATGCATGCATTCAGGTCAGATTCTCATTTCGTAAATATAATTATTATTCTTCAGGTGCAGCAGATAAACCTAACTATCTGGCATGCCTAATTAAACTTGCCTTTAGGTAGTCCTTTTTATTACTTTTACTGCTACTACTACTAATAAAAACAACAGCAATTTTCAGATTCACATAGTGTCACTTTCGAATTTCATTATCATCTACATTCATTCTAACTACCGATGCAGTTTGGGAAAAATCTTGTCACAGCTAGTTATGTTGACAATTCCATGTCCAAGTTGGATGAATCTGCCAAGCGTGCTGGTATTACAATTCTATGTGAGATGGGATTGGACCCCGGGATAGGTGAGTTGTGAAACTCAGACATGTTGATGTTTCAGAGAAAAATCATGTCATCTGTTCAAATGTTGGTAATAGATTCCTGGAGTCTTTCCGAGATCAATTAACCAAGTTGAACTTGACAAGGAACTTGGTTTCAAAAGATTTGAGCTAAGTTTAAAATTAGATTATATCGTTTTATGACTATTAAAATAAAATGTCTAGATTGTGTATAAATTACATTCCAGAAAATAAACATTAATCAAAGATGTACTGAAATTGTTTTTGTCCAGACCACATGATGGCAATGAAGATGATCAATCAAGCCCATGCGCGTGGGGGGAAGATCAAGTCCTTCACTTCTTATTGTGGCGGTCTTCCGGCTCCAGCTGCTGCCAATAACCCATTAGCTTACAAATTTAGGTGATTAGTTTGGAATTCGACTTCAATAGAAATTTCTTTAGTTTCTTATTCCATGCATGACCTTGTTTCTCATCTTGTCCCTAACTGTCACTATTGCTTGCATGAACATGATTGCAAATTATTTTTTAAGTGATTCAAAAATATTATAAACGATTAAAAAGTAACTGCAAAGGCATATTAATATAACTAAGATATGAGTAATTCTGTTAGAGTGAAGTGAAAGAATTATATACTTTGTTTTCATGAACTTAATCATTTATATAGAAAGATACTAGCATATTAAGATTCAATTCGAATGCAATCAAATGAGCTGAATTTATTCTTCAAATGAATACTTATCTTCTTTGCAGTGAATTGCAAACCTATTTTAGTTCCATTACCTCTTTATGTTTGCTTCTTCCTTTACTAACATACCGATGTGCTCTTGAATTAACATGTATGTCATGTATTAAGATGTTTTCGACCTATTCTGCAAACAGCATAATAATCATTACTACTTTTTCAGTTGGAGTCCAGCAGGAGCTATACGAGCTGGACGCAATCCAGCCACATACAAACAGAACGGAGACATTCTACATGTTGATGGTGAGCAAACAAGCAGAATACTGCTCTGAAGTAAATTTTGCCTGGAAATCACCAGAGTTAAACTTTTGCCTTTATTTATCTTTGAATAGAGCAATCATTGGTCTACCTTATATCCTTTTTGGTGATTCATTAATCCATATATGCAGGGGACAAGCTTTATGATTCTGCTTCAAGAATTCGGATTCCAGACTTACCAGCTTTTGCACTGGAATGTCTTCCAAACCGGGACTCTTTAGTCTATGGAGACCTTTATGGAATACAAAATGAAGCATCCACCGTCTTCCGTGGAACCCTCAGATACGAAGGTAGTGTCTTTTCTATACTTCATCTGATTAATATACACACAGAATATCCAGTGATCATATAGGAATCTTCAAATTCATGAAAACAAATCAAAGCTGAAACTTAGCATGGTTAATTGGTTGCCAGAAGGAAGACATAAAATCATCCGACTAGTGTAATAGAACTATTTGAATTAAGGTTGAAATGATGTTCTTTTTGCAGGTTTTGGAGAAATAATGGGAACATTAGCAAAAATTGGTTTCTTTAATACTGAAGAATCCTCCATTTTCAAGAGTGAAGCAAAGCCAACATTTAGAGCCTTTTTATTAGAACTTCTCCAACATTCCGGAAAAAACTTGGAAGATCCAGTTGTAAGTGAGAAATTCATTGCAGACCAGATTGTTGCTTGTGGCCTCTGCACAGACAGGGACCGAGCACTAAAAACAGCCAAAACTATTCTGTAAGTTCAAATTATGCAATTGCAAAAAAAAAAAAAAAGGCAAAACAACATAAATCCACCTTGTAGTTCATGAAAATTGTATGAAATCCCCTATTGTTTTAAAATTGCGTTAGACTCTCTTATAGTTTCAAAAGCCTTACGTTGAATCCCCATTATGTCATTAGTTAACAACGAATAACTACGAAGGTTCTTAAAAAATTCCATAACTACTGAATCATAGTTAACTAATACGAAAGAGGGGGTTAACTATAGAGTTTTAAAACCATAAGAGAGTCTGATGCAGCATGCAGTTTTAAAATAACGGGGTTTTTCCCAAAATTTTTATAAACTACATGTGAGTTTTATGTTATTCTGCCGACAAATAATGAAAACATTAGCTGTAGGCTTTATATAGATAACTTTTTTCATATAATGATTTAGATTGCTACGATGCTACGTCTCTTACACATGCTTTATGTGAATAGATTTTTGGGTTTCCATGAGAAGGAAGAGGTACCAGTATCATGCAAATCTGCATTCGACATTGCATGTATGCGCATGGAAGAAAGGCTGTCATATTCAGGTCAAGAACAGGTAAGGTTCAATTTTGGTTGCATATTACAAACACATTCTATTAAAAAGGGAGGCGATTTGTTGCGTTCATAGGATATGGTGCTTTTGCACCATGAAGTGGAAGTGGAGTTCCCAAATGGTATGCCTTCGGAGAACCACAGAGCAACCTTGCTGGAGTTTGGAAGAAGCATTGAAGACAGGCAGTATACTGCAATGGCTTTGACAGTTGGGATTCCTGTGGCCATTGGAGCTCTGGTATGCACTTTTTATTGGATGCTTAAAAACTAGAAAACGGAAAATAATCTTGTTGGAACTTTCTTTGCATTCTCAGCTCTTGCTTGGTAAGAACTTAAGATCAAAGGGCGTGCTAAGGCCTATAGATCCAGAAGTATATGTTCCAGGTAAACTATGCTCACCTATTTCTCCTCTTACAACCTTTACAATTAAAATTTTTAATGTACTTTGGGCAAAATTGTTTATAATATAATTGTGGTTTGGAAAGTCTGCACTATTTTTGCAGTTATATTTATATAAAAACCGCATAAACATTCTTGTATTTTAGAAAAAATCACAAAATTTCTTAAAAATTGTGCGAGACTAAAAAAGTTATGTGCAATAATTTTTAAAATACTAGGAGCTTCCATACGTTTTCTAAATCACGAGAAAAAAATAATACAAACTTTTTTTACCATAAATGGATTATGAGTAATTTTTCGAAATCTCAAAAAAAAAAAAAAAAATCACACATCATCATCTTAACATTGTATATTTACAGGTCTGGATATTCTAGAGGCCTATGGGTTCAAGTTGTTGGAAAAGATGGATTGATTATCCATTCTCTGTTTGGCTGTCTCCACACACTATTGATATTGATGTCCATTTATTGAACCTCATTTCTATTTCTAGGGTTTAATAAAATTATGAAAGAAATAATGTGTGTGCATATATATACTATTGGAAATTATGGTATAAAAAAACCCTATGAATATATATAATATTGGAAATTATGGAAGTCTAATAGAAAAGTTAAAAGCCCGAGAAGGCAAAAAGACATCCAACTCAAGTGGAAGTCTAATACTACAAGAAGTTCTTTCTAAAGTCCAAAAAATCTAAGAAAAAGTTGGAAAAATCTATTTTTCGAGTAAAAAGATCCATTGTTTTCTTATTTAAGCTTCTTGTGAGAGATTTTTATAAACTTATTTATTGAATCTATGTGAAAAAGAATGAACAAGGCAAAAACAATTGAATTCCAATGATACCTATGTATAAATTGAAACTTTTTTAGATGGGATCTAAAGATGAAAGTAGTGTAATATATTTGGAGAAAAGGTCAAAACTTAAGAAGCCCAAAAATGTGTGGCTATGAGAAGAAGCCCAAACCTCTTGGGCATGTAGGTTTGGATAATGGGGCAAGACTCACGCAGTCTCTTACTCGGTCTAATTAAATCATACCATTATTATTTTTTTATCAATTAAATTTAATATATATTTATATTATTATATTCATTATTCATCAAATCAATTATTATTTTAAAACTTCCCGATCTAAACAAATTTATTGACAAAAAAAAAATATAAATTCAAACATATTTTAAATTTTAAATAAAAATCAAATTCAAATCCAAAGAACTATTTAATGGATTAAAATGAAAGAAAATTCGATGTAAAATTTAAAAGGGGATTTATGAATGAAGGAAAAAGGAGACGTCTATACACATCCAAAAAATTATGATTCCTCTAATTTTGTTTGTTTGTGTTTTTATTGTTGTTTTTTATTTTCCTCTTGTATTGCATATTATTTTCCCTTTTAATTATGCAATTTAGTATTTATTTTCGTCCTTCAAATTCTACCTCTTTTTTTTTTTTTTTTTTTTTTTTACATTAATTATATTATTTTATATTATCTTTTCCCTTGTTCATCCATTCCAAGAAGACTAATTCAGAGGTTTTTTTAAGCCTTCGGGAAGCCCGAATTTCATCGACAATAGTTAGGATATTCATATCACTACTCAATTATACTTTATCTGATTTTTTTGCTTTAATTTGAATGGTAACTTTTATATAATACTTTACGAGAGAAAATAATGTATCTATGGTGATTATGTACTAAATAAATTCAAGCAAAATTCTGAATAAACAAAACCATAAATTTTATTTTATAACTATTTCTGAAAATCTTTAATTATTTAAATAATAATATTTTATTCTACTACACATTAATTTGCTCAAATAATTTTCAATAAATAAAAAATTGTATAAAGTTGAAATCTAAATAGTACGAAGTTATGAAAATTTTAATTTAAATAACTTCATTAAATTTTAAATTAAAATTAATATATATATATATATATACATATTAAAACCCAAAAAATGAAAAATAAAAAATAAAATTAACCGAGTTCATACAAATTTACTGGGTTATAATTCACTCCATTGTCTATTATGATTTGAAATGAGTTTGGTCATATAATCGTTGTTTCGGATTGTTTAATAGAAATTTGAATGTAATATTTTGAAAAAAATAATATATTTTATTTTTTTGGATATGGATGACGATGACCAACGCTAGGAGAAGTTTGATGCAGACAGTACAATAACGGGGACCACATGGAAAAGGACAAAGGTAACCCAGTGAACATGGAATTCGAGTATGGCATGCCCGCGGGTACGAGGAATTATTACTTGGCAATGTCGCACCTCCAATCGTAAAACCACGAACATGGAGACCAAAGAAGGCAAGACGAGGTGGTGTGGAGCGGTCATGGGTTCAAACCTCCGACGTCTCATGTCACTTGCCAGTAGTTTATTCATTCCATTTAACTTTTAATCAAATTTAGATGGTTCAATACCGACTCATTCACATACGAGAGTTGGCCAAACAACAGTCCAACTCCGGGGTATCACATCTTCCATCACTTTAGAATGCAACGTCCACTTTGCACTCAAGGATCGTCAACTGCTAGGCTATCAACAGTCTGGTCAATGATTGCGGGCTGTCGCAGGTCGGCTCTTATACCAACTGTGATACCCGGCCCGCAAGCCACAAGAAACTGAGAGTCGGCTCTTATACCAACTGTGATACCCGGCCCGCAAGCCACAAGAAACTGAGAGTCGGCTCTTATACCAACTGTGATACCCCGGCCCGCAAGCCACAAGAAACTGAGTGTGTCAGGATTGTACTGTGATATCCGGCCCGCAAGCCATGAGAAATCGAGCGTGTCGGGATTGTAGACTGACCCCATAAGTCAACACGAGTCTTTCTAGTACGTTTTTGTCCTCACTCATGCACACCCCGGGGTCACCCACCCTCAAAGTACTCTAAAGTTCTTTCAGTAGGACACCCGCAATCTATTTAACCTCTAATCAAATTTGAATGGTCCAATACCGGCTCATCCACACAAGGGAGTTGGCCAAACAATGGCCCAACTCGAGGGTATCACAATTATAATATAGTTTTTACATGTTTTATGAATTAATACTAACAGGAGGTTGTTACCCCTCTGCCGGAGAGAACCAAGAAAACGACTTCAGTACGGTCTAGAAAACAACAAATATGAATTAAATCCCAAGCTTTCATGATGAAGTTTTTTATATTTTTTGTGTGATGAGAATACGATTTTCCATATACAGGGACAAGAGTCTGCTGCCCCTCCGCATGTCGGAAACAAGAAGGCTTCAGTGCAATCTAGAGAACAACAAGTATGAATTAAATTTGATGCTTTCATGACGAAGATTTTTATATTTTTGTGTGATGATAAGACGATTTCCCATCTACAGGGACAAGAGAATGCTGCCCCTCCGCCGGTCAGAAACAAGAAGACTTCAATGCACGTTGCAGAACAACGGATATTCCTTAAATCCCTAGCTTTGATGACAAAAATTTACATGTTTTATGCAACTTTTTATACAAAAACAAGCCAATACAATGTCTTCTAAGGGAGAAGAATCTCAACCGGCTTCACCGGCATCGAGCAATGGGCACGAAGAGCTGTCGTGGTCTGAACGTACTCGGGCTTCTTCTAGACGCCCGAAACTTGCCTCACTATTAAAAAATGGTCAATTCTCCTATAGACCGAAATTGCAGCATGACTCGTTGAAGGGAGCTGGCCCTTTGAAATGGTATTTACGTAGTATGGTGCGTGTCCGTAGCCGCAGTTTAACCGGGGAATATTTCTATTTTTTGTAGTGATCTTACAACTTATGAACCTGCATTATGTAATTGTGTTTTTTTTTTTTTTTTTTTTTTAATTCGACACACTGAATTATCCATAGCTTTTCATGCTTGTGTACTGTCTGTTGTTGAATTTTGTTGGTTGTGTTTCATGGAAACAAAGTGTTAGAATTGTAATTGATTGTAACAAAGAGCATCCATTGCTTGTTGGTGTACATTTTATTCACTTAGTCAATTTTGGTTGTCCATGACATGACAGTGCATTCATACAATTATCTTAACTACACAATAAAAAAGGGGCAATAGAATTGTATTATGTACCTATTCATTTACATCCCTTTTACATTAAGCAAATTACTGCAAGAAAAATGGTAATAATCATGATAAAGACAAGAACACTTGATCATTTTCCAAACTTTTTTGATACAATCATAATAAAGACACAAGATTTCATACAAACAAGATTACCTAGAGAAGTCCCTAATGGATGGCCTAGTGGTGTAAAAGTTGAACTTGTGACCGTGAGGTCATGGTTCACGACAAAAATTTCAAACCCTACAAATCCATTTGGAGAAAATTATGTCAATTATGATAATTTGTTATTATTATTATTATTATTACTATTATTATTGATCTATAGCTAGTTAGTTTTTTTTTTTTTTTCATAAGACTCCTTGTATTTTTAAAATATGCATAGAATTTTTTAAAAAGAGATTTTGTGTAATACTTCGAAAATACAAAAAAATCTCATATAATTTTGAAATGATAAATAAGAATGGTGAAGGCTTTCAAACCACAAGCTGGTTCTAAGTAATTTTACATTATTATTATTATTATTATTATTATTATTATTGATCTATAGCTCATTCTTTTTTTTCTTAACCTAAAATTTTAAGTAAAAATATATTACTTTTTAATGCAAAATAAATTTCGTATAGATGTGTATATATATTATATTTTGTATATAAATTTAATTGGGAATAAAATATTTGAGTGAATATCCCTAAAATCAAAAGATTATTTAAATTAAATTTTACGAAAAAAAAAAAAAAAAAAAAACTCAAACACAAATCAAACTAACTAATTATCTCTATTTTAAAACTTGTAAACTTTACAAATAAAAATGAAATAAGTTTGTACGAATAAAGTTTTAAAATTTTTGTAACTTTTAATATTTATATAAATTTCCAATAAGGATATATACAACGGGGAAAAATAATTACAAATTGAAACTCTTGAAATGAGAAATCTTGAAAATAAATAAATAAACCATAGAAACAAACCAATCAAAATTTGAATAAGTGTTTAGTTTTGTTGAAGTAAATTTTTCAACAATAAAAAAAATTAAAATTCGAAAATAGAAAATTATCTTCTTCGAATTTGAATAATTAGTGTGTGAGATTAGGAATCTCTAAACACTATACGGTACATAAGTATACTGAAAAATAAATGCTACAGACTGAAAATTAAATGATGATCCCCGAATCATTGACTTTGCTGCCGTTTGAAGATGATCGAAGATTGCTGACCCCAATCCTTAAAGATTCCTTAGAAACTGGAACCGTCGCCCGAACGATTACAACGCTTCCTCTCAACCGTCTACTAATTCCTCTTTTGCTGACACGTGTTTTCAACCGTCTTATCAACCGCGTAACCCAACCGACCAAGCTACTGTTCTCACTCGATCTCCGCAGCATCTGACCTCCACAGCAGCCAACTTGCTCATCCGACCGCAGACCAATCGACCTGCCTGTCCAACCACGGACCTTTCGACCTTCTTATCCGATTGCGGACCAACCGACCTACCCGTCCAACCGCGGACCTTCCGACTTACTTATCCGACCGCGAACCAACCGACCTGCCTATCCGACCGCGGACCTTCCGACTTGCTTATCTGATTGCGAACCAACCGACCTGCCTGTCCGACCGCGGACCTTCTGACTTGCTTATCCGATTGCGAACCAACCGACCTGCCTATCCAACCGCGGACCTTCCGACTTGCAAACTGTCCGACCCGCGGACCATCCAACCTGTGGACTGTCCGACTTGCAGACCATCCGACTTACGGATCATCCGACCTGTGGACTGTCCGACTTGCGGACCATCCGACTTATTTAATTAATATTACTTTAAATTTAAATATATTTTAAAAATTTTACCAATCCATCTGAAATGTTCATAGATCATTTTATAAATATATAAAATATAAAATATAAATTTTAAGCTAAAATCTTTCAAAATTATAGTTAAACAAAGGAAAGATTTTGAATATTTTTTTTAATAGATAGAAAAACAAAATCCATCATAATATAAATAAATAGTTTTTGTTTTTAATATATATTATGCATTTAAAAATTTTATTATTAAAAATTGAGATTAATAAAAAAAATGATGTTAAGATTATAAATATCAACTTATTTATTTAAATAAGTCAGATTCAAATAAAAGATTTTTTAACTATCCTCTGCCGGTCCTATGCATACTGTGGCCCACAGACTCACTAATAAAGCAAAAGTTGATAAAATACTTACTTGAAATCGTAAATATTATACATAAATAAATTGAAAAAAGAAATCTAAAAAGTAACCACAAGGCTGATAATTAAATGGAAGATCGATAAATGTAAAAACAGAAACAGCCATGCTATAATACAATCGGATTCATCAAAATTTGATCAAAATTTACCAATCTCACCCACAAATTTCAACTCATCTGCAATCGTGTAGTAGTCAATCAATTATATGAATGGAAAAAGCTACTAAGTAATGCTGTCAAAAATATATTCCTACAAATACTTCCTATTTATAAACTGTACAAATTCATCAATGGAAAAACAGGGAGAAATCGAACTTCTACTTAGCACCATGGCACGGATCATTTTTTTCTGCTCGATCCGAAAACTCAGTGGCTTCAACCTTCCAAACATTAGAAGAAAAGTTGTCCAAGATACGGATGCTTTTACCATTGTCACATTTTCATGATTCGACCTCTTGGCAACAAAGTTAGATGTTCATTTCGTCAAAATAACGCCTAGCCAACAGCTGCTGAGGCTAATTGATCTTCCACTTCTTCCCAATTGTAGACTTTTGTTACAAGAGGATGTTTAGTATCTACCTTGCACCAAGGATATGAATTCTCATAATCGAAAAGGAGAACCTTTATCCCGGCTTCTGCACACTCTGTAGCATATCTTGGGTTATCATCAATCAATATTTTTGCTCCCAAGGACCTACGAAAACGACGAATTAAAACTGAGGCAGTCAACAAAGCATCCTTGTTCTTGGTGATACATTAATCAAGTCATGATAAGTACAGTTGGGAATGTGAAAAAAATAAGACAGAACTGTTTATAATCCACCCGTGATTTGGAAAGTTGGCACTATATTCCTCTATGATTTAGAAATTCAACAATGCTCCCCCGTGTTTTAAAAATATTGCACAGAATCTTCGAAAAATTGCATGATACACTCTTGCATTTTTGGAAATATTTCATAGAGTCCCTCTAGAAAAGGGATTTTGTGCAATATTTCGAATATACAAAAGAGTCTCGTACAATTTTTAAATCACAAGAGAGAATGATGTAAACATTTTCTCAAAAAATAATGAGAAATGAATAAAAATAAGAGAGAGGGGGGCATGGTTATAAAGTGAGTACTTGCACATATCGGATTTACGTCTAGATTGCCCATCTAAAGCAAAGTGGTTTCCAAAATGGATCTCCTGAAATAGCCCTGGATAATGCTTCTCAATCCACTCAATTGTGTGATCTTTAATTGCATTCTGTCTGGAGCTGTATAGAGCAGTGACAAAAATTATTTGCATAGAGTAATACACGATGAAACTTGAAAATCAATGAGGGGTTGTGAGAACATACGTGACAATGCATAAGTTATAGATTTCCGATAACCTTTGCAAAGCCATTTGAGCACCTGGAATTGGATATATGCCATTCTTGAAGTAAGGGGTCTTAAAGAATTCATGAACGCGAATATCAGCTGTCACAAAGAAAGTGAATATTTCATTCAATTTCCAAGTGAAATTTCGGCTGCAAAAGGTGTATAACATCTACATACTTAATTATAAAAAGGAAAAAGTGAATCAAAAAAATTAATATAGAAGCATAAAAAGGTAGGAAAAGATGCTATTACATCTCTGTAATATGAGACTCTGTAAATCCTGATAATAAAGATAAAAGATAAAAAATTGAAGAGTATTTTGTTCTTGAGAGGATGGAGTGATTATTGGAGCCTGGAAGACCTATTTCCATAAGAACCAAATGCTGATTATTAGCTAGAGTCGTTAATGAACCAAACTATTAATGTTTCAGTTTGGCCAGTTTCATAATTTTATTTCATTTTAATTTATACATTTGAATTTAAACTAAGATTCAGTTTAAGTTATTAATTAATAATTTCATTACTATTTCTGTCATCGAAAATTATGCCTATTTGATTATGTATGAGTTTTAATAAAAGTGAATAATAATGATTATTTTTCCATTTTATAGTAAAAAAATACAAAAATAATATTTTCTTACCCAAAAAAAAAGCAAAAATATTTCTTTGATGACAACACAAAAAAAGTGGGCATAAATTACAGAAGAAATACTATTTATAAAACAAACAAACTTCAAAAGTAACATGTATTATTATAATATATACTTTACTAAGATATAAACATATTGGTTTATTCTCTTACAAACACTAAGGAACATCTTGAACAAAAAGAGCTAAATTTTATATTTGTGTTTGTTCGGCCCATCTTCAAGCAATACGACATAATGATCATCTAGAAACTTAATATGACCACGATGATTTCAAAACATAAAATCACAACATATTTAAAGTATTTCAACAAATACATATATAAAATGTATATTATTATGTTTAGTTTATTTATGTCAGGGTTGGGTCCAGGATTGTACCCTGAAGCTGGACACCTGGAAATTTTATTCCATACCCAACAACCTAGTATAAGGATTATTGGTCCCAGCCCCAATTAAATGAGCCAAGTCCGGGATAGGTACGTCATCCCTAAACCCAATAATACTTCAGGATCAAGGTGTATTCAAACTAAGAGCAGACTGCGCAACTATATATCGTACCAGCACAGAAGAGCATAATATCCCAAAACATAACATTCATGACAAGAATATTCTGCATGCTTACCTTAAGAAGATAATAGCTAATGGAAAAAGCTTATAAATAAAAAATGCAGCTAATATGTTCAAGTTTTATTTAAATGCTAGGTGTAAATAAATTTATCAATTTTTATTTTTTTATTTAAATCAATACCTTCATCACGTGAGCAGTTCCATATCTGCAGGTAAAACAAGTGCATCAAGAAATGCATTAACAAAATGTTCTTGAACACCATTAAGAAAAAAAGTAATCATCCAATTAACCAACCACACAACAAATTTCAGATGTGTCACAGAAGAAATTCACATAAGCTTTCCGATTATGCAGCCTAAAAATCCATACAGGAAGTTCACAGCACAAAAATGATGCCATTCCTCAAATACATAGCGACTGGAGGAATGAAAAAATGTCATCAAACAAGTCAATCTTATGCTATTGATAGTCATCAAAAGTATAGCAAAACCGATGAGGTTGGAATTATTGACTGATCCATTTGAAATAAACAATAAAGCAGATTATTTGAGTTGACAAATAAACAACACTTACTTCAAAGGCCATAGAATGTTGGAATCAAAAGTACCTCGATGTATATAGCTTATTCAAATTAGAGCAAATAAAGGATTCATTTTCCATTCTATAAAGTTGAGAATGAGATGAAATAAAATCCTCAAAAGAAAATTCCTTAACTATTATGCAATCTGTCTCCAAATTTGAGTCTTTAAATTTTGTTTATCTTTGTCAAAGTTGCATTCAAGACAGCTATATTATATCATATTGGTGATATTCATTCTGAAACTATCTTTTATAATGAAGCTACCTAGAAGCATGCATTGCTATAGATTTTCTTTTAAAGTCGTCATCATAATATCAAATGGTCATAGATCCTGTTAGTCACTAAATGTACAGCCGCTTCTGTGGAAATCACTACAAAAAGGTTGCTAAACCAAAGTGGATATATCAGAGAGAAGTCTGATCCACTATGACCTTGGAGATGATTAGTACGGAAACACCTGCCATCATTTCATTTAATTTTTGGTGTTGCTCTTCAAGGATCTACCAATGAAAACAATGATACTCATCTGCTTGTCAAAGTTCAGCATTTCACAGATTTTCCCACATTAATCTGAGGAGGGATTTTACATTTTAACATTGCATCACATCTTTAGGTTTTCCTAAAATCTAACATTTGACTTCAGAATAATTGTAGCACAAACATAAAGAAAGGGATCAAACTTCTTGCTGCCAAGCTTGCCTCACTTGTTTTGCTTATAAACTCTGGATGACTTTACAACTTCAATACAAATTGACTAATCCAGTCTATTTTCCATGTACATAGAAGTGCATCTATGTTTTAGCTATATGAATATTATATATTATGGGCATTTCCAATAGTATCGAGTCTCATGACTATAGTACTTTCTGTTTTTTTTTGGAGCGGAGACATATTACTTATATGTTAAATGATAGGAAGGATACAACCAATAGAAAAAAGCGACAGAACGTAAAACCAAGCAGCTGAATCTAGGGCTTAATAGAACCAAAATGTATGAAGAAAGCCTGCTCCAAACATCTATAACCAGACTAAAAGAGAGGCGCTTCCACTTGCTCCACATATTGCAAACAAATAAAAAATAAAAAATCTGCCAAACCATTTGCGCTAACATAATGGAAGATAACGAAGAGAGTAATGGATATGTAGAGGCGGAGCTTGTTAATGTTGAAGTTCAGTTTCCATATGGAGCTGGTGCCAAGAATCCATCTAAGAGCATTTTTTAATAGCTCTCCACAATAATTTGATGTGAAGGACAAATTTGGGTCAAAGTAATGTATTAAAGGATTGCCTAGTCTACCGACCCAACATCTTTTGCTAAGATGAAGATGTTAACCAAGGTGATCTCAGATGACAGCTACAGTACCAGTTATCTACGTTTTAATAAAATCTGAACCATTTGTGCTGATATTCCACCAAGAAAGCTTCTCTATGACCCCAAGAAATTTACTTTAAGACTTCTTTTTTTTTGCACAAAAAAGAAAAACGTATTGGGGATTATTAATCAAAGTAGCCAGGGGAATATTAGTGCCAAAAAAGTATGCACGGTACCAATCACCAATAGTTAGACGAGTTCTCAAGTTGATCCAGTCTAATGAGAAATCCTCATTTTTAGAATAAAAGCTTTCCAAAGAATAACCTTGAAAACTCTAAACCAAATTTCAATACTAATAGACTTATTAGCAAGGTTATGCCATTGGAGGAAAAAATATGCAAGATGGCCAGATCCAAAAGATTCTCTATAAACCGAGAAAGTGGTTCCGAATAGCAATTGGTGGGGGGAAATGCAAAAAACAAGTGGGAGGCTGATTCTCTCTATAGGCAACAAAAGGGCATACAACATCATCAACCGAACATCCACAGGATGCGAAATCTTTGTCTGGAAGAACATCCCTTGCTAACTTCCACAAGAAGGTGTTTCGATTATGATGGCTCATCTCCAAATGACTGAGCCGGGATGCCAAACTAGGAGCAGCAAGAGTTTGAAAGCCACTGGAATGACTGGCAACAATACAATCCATTAGAATTAGATTTTTTATATTACATTATCAGCATCTTTATCCAAAACAATGGTTGAGTCTAGCACTTTCAAGAAATATTCCCATAGTCTACTTTCCCAATCAAAAGTTCTTGGAGATCCTTATCCCAAAAAGAGAAAACCTTGAATGGTCCCTGATTTCAAGTGAACAAGAGAAAATATGTGCGGGTGAAATAGTTTCCAAAGGAGGTGAAGTTGCTCACCAAGGATCTTCCCAAATCCTTAACTTCTTATATCTTTGATCCAACACCAAAAATTATACGCTTCAGGGAAATCCCACAACTTTCGAATATTGGTCCAAAATCCAAATAGAACCTTATCAATCAATTGGAAAGGCCAAATAGTGCTACGATCTATTTTTTATTTATCATACATGATTTTCCTCCACAAAACAAATATATATTGAAATTGCTACTCTCATTTGTTAAGAAGGGCTTTTTTAAGTTATGGAGCAAGATAAGGCCAATACTTCTCAAATTTAGTTGTCCTGCGGAGGGAATTTTAGATTGGAACTTGTAAGTGCATTTCTCTACCCAACAAAGTGTCACCCCAAATTAAGTTGTGAAAATTTCCTTCGAGACAGTATAGGATTTGTTTCCGAATCTTCAAAAGAGATAAGAAGTAAAAAGGTAGATTCGTCAATACGGGCTAAACAAAAGAAACACAACCACTAAAGGATCCACTTAGTCTCAAGTCAACCTTTTCAAGGATTGGATTCCAAATAGATAACTAGTTTCTTTTAGCACTGATATTTGCCCTATGTAAACAGAATAGTCTTAACAAGGCATTTGATTGCTTTGGCTAAGCAAGATTTAAAATGACACATGCATCAAATATTGTTTGCCTTTCGTCTTCTCATTTTCTATAAAGCTGAACCCAGCCCCGTAAACCATCCTCAATCAAGGTTATGTCAATGTGAAGAATGAAACTTTTTATTTCTTAAAGAGCCCATACATTGGCAATCTAAATTGAGGTAAAAATATCCATACTTATCTCTTTCAGGATACAGCAATAATCAAATGAATTGCCATAAATTATATGCAAATTGTATTAAAGGCCGGATGTAGTACCTTGAAAAATTCATAGACATGGTATTCAGAAACTGAGCATTTGAGGGAGTACCGAGCTGCAATAAACTGATTGAGAGCCGACACAAAGTTCCCAAGAACTGCCCACAAAGTCAAAGAGAGAAAGCAAAACTAAGTTAAGAATGTCATCATATTGACTCCAATTAAATATTTTGTGATCTATGAATAAAACAAATGAGTCGAAACGTCAGCAGCAAGGACCAAACTATTCTCCACCAAATCAACAGAACAAAATCGTGAATTCCAAAATATACCCCCTTGCAAGGAGAGAAGCAGCACAAGAAAATACTTGTTTAATTGCCCAATGTCATCACAAAGAATATGCCCTCAATCAGACACCAACATCGACTACTTTGTGCAAAAACATAATACCCATACTAACAGATTAACAAATTGTGACAAAAAAGAATGAATCGAAGGAAATATATCTACATGAACTAAATCAATCAAATAAATACCTTCATCAACATCAACTGCAACCATGATTTTCTCGGACGAATCTCCCCGGAAATACCCTTTACGAGAAGCACTGCTTCCATTAACAGGACAAAATCCAGCATTAAGTTGATCCCTAACAACCTCATTAGAAACACCCAGGGCGCAAGGTGCGCACGCCGGATCTTCCCGCAACCCGGTATCAATCCGACGATGAAGCCTAAAGCTATCATTATTATCCCTCAAGGCATTGCTATTTTGTCCAGAGCTGCTGCTGCTGCAGCCCCTGAGCCTGAACCCATTCCTGCCAAAACTTCGGCTGCTCAAACCAATGGCTGAAGGAACGGAGGCATTGGAAGAAAGCTTTCTGAGAGACATAATCTGAAAATCCCTTTGCCCCAGCGCAAAATTGGAGGCAGCCGCCATACAACAATCGCCCCGAAAATGGCGAAAACGATGGAAACAAGCAATGCTATAGGAAGAGGAGATTGGTATGGAGAAACGTCTTCGTATCATGCCGGGATCGATGATTCCCAAAGAAGTGCCATGCCCACAACTACTGACAATAAATATATGAATGCAAACAACAAGGGGCGGTGGGGTGGCTTCGAAAATAGGAAAACGGAAGAGAAATTACTAAAACAGAAAGAAAGAATGGAAGATATTTGGAGTATTGAATATTTATTGATTATCTTTTCCTTTGAACGAGGAAAGACGGTTCTGATGATGGCCGGAATAGAACCAGAGCTTAATTTTAAGGGTGTGTTTGTCTGGTCGTTTGAATTTGAAATTGAAATTTGTACATTAAAAATTTTGAATATGAATAATTATATGATATGATATAAATAAATGTTCAATATGATTTTTTTAATATAAATTTGACTTTTGGTATAATATAATAAATAAAAAATAAATATTTAATTTGATTTTTTTAAAAAAAAAAAATGATTAATAATAAAAATATGTTAGGATTCCTTCGAACAAACATACCCTTAATGTGTTTGAGTTGCAACAAACAAATACAAAGCTTCCAATAATTGGTTTAAAGAGCACCAAGAATGGCCCTCTCTCCTCCACATGCCATCATCGTTATTTTTTATTTTTTTTAAAAAAAAAAAGAGAAACAAAACTATATTATACTACTATTATGATTAAAAATTGAAGAAAAAATTTTTAAAAAAAAATTTAAAAATATTTAAATACAATTATCTTTAACAATAAAAAATAATAATTCAAGCTGCGCGCGAAAAGTATAGTACAGATATATTTTATTTATTGAGAGTGAAATATACAAATATTTGGGTATGTTTTTTTATCCTCAAAATTCACAAGTTTCTATGAATTTTATGTATTGTCTCTTACAAAATATTTCATCATATTTTATTTTAATACCAAATCTAAATATTTTTTTTTTCAAATTTATCAAAAGAAACAAACCTTGAAGTGATTTATTTAGATAAAATAATTTAAATATTATTTTTTAAATAAAACAAATAAAAATTGGTTAATCATTCTTTTCATATTTTATAAAAATTAAATTACTAGTTTATCCCCAATAAAAAGATTAATTAATCTAGATATATATTTAGGCTGTGTTCGTTTCATGAATTTGTTCATGATTTTACTGTACAAACACTATACATAATTAGAATTCAAAATCCGAACTCTATATCCTATGTTGCTAGACCATAAGCTTCCCTTCATGCAAAAATTGTCGTGAGAATCTCTACGACCTGTCAACTCCAACTCTGATTGACGGACTGACGAACACACCCAACGGTAGGATTGGTAGGTGAGGCAATAAATCATCAACATTCTTATTTATGGCATCTCGACTTCGGATCTGTGGTGTAATCAACACCGGCGTCTTGGGGTTTTTGTGTATTTTCCTGAACCGGTATTCCGGCGAGAGTCTTTCTGCCACTAGATTTAGTTCGACTGGTCTTTGTTAACCGGTGAAAATGAGTGGCTTGTTTACTAACCGAGATGATTCCGATGATCTCTATTAAAGTAGAAAGTTTCCTAAGTATTGCACTTACGAGCTACGAGGGGGGAGTGTCAATTGGTTCACGTCTTACACACACTCCAAAAAATTATTTTTAAAATATCAATTCTAACATCACTTTACTTTTTTATGTTTATTTTTAATTAACAATATTTAAATATTATTCATTTCAAACTATCACATCAATACATTACTTTTTTTCAATATAATAATACTCCCTCCGTCCCAGATACCGTGTCCGCTACACTGTAGACACGGTATTTTAGGAGGAGTGTAATTAGTAGATAAATGAGAATGTACTAGTGAAAATAATTATTAAAAAATTTAAAATGAGATTAAAGTGTGTAATTATTTTCCAAAAAAGAAAAGTGACATGATATGTGGGACGGACAGAAACGGCAACATGAACATGGTATCTGGGACGGAGGGAGTAATTTCTTCCAACATAATCATTACAAAATTCAAACCTTAAAACAAACGCAACTTAAAAATCCATACTTGAAAATCCTCAAAAATCCAAATTCAAAATCCAAACCCCCAAACAAACACACCCTTAGAAAATATGTACTCCCTCCATCTATTAAAATTAGCCATTTGGACTCGGCACAAGAATTAAGAAAAATGAATATTTTATTGAAAAAGTGATAGGTAGTTGAGGGTATTTTTGGAATTTTAGTTAAAAGATAAAGTAAATGAAGAGAGAGAATGCAATAAGTATTTGTTGTAAATAAGTGTTGAATGGAGGATAATAATTAAATGTTGATTTGTTGATTTTGTCAAAATTAGTAATGAGATAAATTTGGTGAAAGGATAAAAAGAAAAATGAGAATAAATTTAACAGACAGAAGAAATATTATATTTATGATATGTTTACATATATGAGATTAGAATGCATAGTATTATTTTATCAAATATAATCTGATATTTACTTTAACACTATATAATTAAAGACTCAATACAATTATATTAATTTATAAAATTATTAATATAATTTAATTCTGTAATATTATTTAATCATACTTAATAAAATATTTAAATTATCCTTCCCTTTAGACACTTAGAGGCATTTTATATAAATATAATAAAAAAAATTATTTAATATATTTTGATTTTAAAATATTTCTTCCGTCCGTTAAAAATAGTCTATTTGGGTCGGGGGTACGGAGTTTAAAAAAAATAAATATATTATTGAAAAAGTGATAGATAATTGGGGTATTTTTGGAAATTTAGTTAGAAATAAAAGTAAATGAAGAGACCCAATGTAATAAAGTTAATGTATTTGTTGTAAATAAGTGTTGAATGAAGGGTAATAATTAAATGTTGATTTATTAACTTTACCAAAATTAATAATGTGATACATTTAGCGTACATACTAAAAAAATTGTGAGAATAAATTTGGGGGACGGAGGAAATATAATTTATTTAGTTTTTAAAAATTTTTAACCAATAATATAAAATGATAAGAATAATATAAAACACAATGTATTCCTGAAACTAAATTTATAATTTTAGGATAAAATTAAATAATTTAATAGAAAATAAAAAAATATCTCAAGATATATATGTATACTGAGTCCGACTTTTTCAATTTTTTATAATAAGTATTTAAAGTTTTTTTTAAAATTTTTGACTTTGATATAAATCATTTTGTATTTTTTATTATTATTTTTTAGGAATCGTAATTGAAAATTGATGTTTGAAGAACATAGCGATTATGTCATGATAATACCATAATTAAATTTTAATATATTGTTATATTATTGTATTGCTATAATTAGAATGAAAAACGTATAAACTAAATTATATTACTATAATTAATATTAAATTATTAAGGGTATATTTGGCAAGAAAAAATGACCATATCATATAATCAAACAAAATAAATATATGATTCGTTTAACAATTAATTGGTAGGTGATTCAATTAGCTGATTCAATTAGGTGGTTTGATTAGCTGATATTAAAGTGTTTGGTAAAACAACTGTTTGACATTAGTTATTTATACATAAAATGACTATTAAGGATATTGATATGTTATTTTTTAAAATATTTAATTTTGTTCATTTTTGTTTGAAAATTATGAGAATTTTCGTTATTACTTATTGAAAATTATAAAAATATTATAAAATATTTATTTTTATTTTTATTTATTTAGATTTGAAAAAATTATTTTTATTAAAAAATAATAATTTTTTATTGAAATGATGTTAAATATAAAATAATAAATCTTTCATTTATATATATTTATTATGTTAATTATTGTTTTAATATATATATATAAATAAATTAATAATTTTTTTAATTGATCTAGTTTTAAATATTTATATATTTATTATGGTAATTATTGTTTTAATATATATAAATAAATTAATAATTTTTTTAATTGATTTAGTTTTAAATATTTATATATTTTACAAATAAAATAATTTATATGTAATAATTAATAATAGTAATTATTTTAAATTTACAAAAATAAAAATATAATTTAATAAATTAAATATATTAAAATAATTAATAAATAGTGCTATAAAAATATATTTATATGTATAAAATAAATAATAAGTTTTAAGGATAAATAAAGAATAACCAAAATTAAAATGAAAAAACTCTTTCAAAACGTTGGGTAGATAAGTTTTTCAGACATTAGCTTTTTGGGTCTAAAAAGCTCTTTAAAAAAGCTAATTTACCAAATACCTAAATTAGCTTTTTGACTGATCAAACAGCTAAAAGTTGTTCAATAAGTTAAAAGCTCTTAAAAAAAGCTATTTCCCAAACACCCTCGTAATAGAACTTTATTTAATATTTAATCACACAAACTATACTGTTCATCTAACTTTTTGTATGTTAATTGCGCATATTGACTATAAATTTGCATAGTTTCTATTGATTTTTAGTCGAATTGGATTTTTTTGTTATGAATGAAAGAGATTGAAGATATTTACAAAAAAAATTTTAGATTATTGCTTTGATCTAAGCATGTCCATGCCGAGAAAGAGTTTTGATAAATCAATACTTGAATAATAAAATTGAAATTTTGCATCAAGAAGAATTTGTGGAGCAATAAAATAATAAAATATTAAAGCTTAATTCTAGGTCTCGACGTATTTGACATCACGAAAAGAGAAAGAATTCAAAAAGTCATCTCGGAGAATAAACAAAAAGCGGAGTGATCAAAAAAATAGCTGGTCAATCCAGCGTCATTATCTGTCAAGCAGAATCATTTGTTTTGAATTTATAGTTATGTTTATTGGTTAGGTTTCTTATTATAGTATAAGGTTGGACTGAATTCTTGGATTATGGATTTGTGAGATAGTTTTGTTTTTAATCGAATATTTCAATTAATTGGTATTTGTGTCATTTCTGTGTACCGTATTCACAATCATTAGATGCGATTTATTATTGTGGCCAAGTTTTAAGTATGTCTATTGATTGTGTGCTAATTGAATAACTACATTTGTAATTGTGTATATATTCAATAAAGTAGTAAATAGGTTACCGCACTTAGCCTAGGAGTTGCACGACCGAATAGAATATCTTTCATAATTGATTTGATATTCGAATTGAGTTTTTCTTGTGCTATTTTCAATTGAACAATTTCTACTACGGTCGTACCTAGTTAGATAGTGGTCAATTGGTAGTACTTTGCCACAGATAAAGTTAGGAAAAATTGGGTGTTCGATCGTATCAAATACCTATAACCAATTTATCAATAGATTTATTAGTTTACTTAATTCAATGATCAAATCTATTACCTGATTTTTCATACAATCCTTGGATTAGAGGTTTTACTTCTTGATAAATTATTTTATTTATTTTCTTGATTACTTGATTTTCTTTAGTCTAATTGAATTCTCTTAGTATAGTTCTAAAATTCCTCAAATTAAATAAATAATCAACTAAAGAAACACAAGACTGCGGATAAACCATGTTTTCATTATTCTACAATTTATTAAAAAATTGCTGATTACCATTCAGACCGTCCATTTAAATATATTCATTTTTAATAATTTTCTTTTTTATCTTCTATTTTTTTTATAAAAAAATTGGTTTTTAGAAAATAATTAATTTCGATTTTGATTTTATTTAAATATATATTTATTATGTATTTATAGTATAAAAATGAAATAAATAATACTCCCTCCATCCCATGTATTTTGGGCACGTAGATACAAGAATTTATGCAGATATAATTAGTAAGTAATTAAAAAGTGTATTAGTAAAAATAATTATCATTTAGTAAAAATAATTATAGATTAAGATATAACTAAATAGTTTAATTAAGATTAAAAAAATTATAAAATTTAAAATTTAAAATGTGATTAAAGTGTATAATCATATTTCAAAAAATAAAAAAACAAATGATGTGAAACAAGAAAAAAATAGAAAATATTAGCAAATTACTGAGGACTGAGGGAATAATTAATTAAAATTTAAATTACTAAAATAAATAAATTTAATAATAATTAAATTAAATTTTAATTCAAATTAAATAAAAATAAGTTATAAAAAATATTGATTTATTAAATAATAAATTAGCTTAAATTAAATATGATTATATAATAGAAAATTACTATAATATTTAATATATAAATTTAAAAAATAATGATTTATTTTTATTAATATTAATATTAATATTATCTTTATTTTTATAAAAATTTAATACTTCTATATGAAATGTTTAACTACAAATATATTATTATCATAAAATACTCCACAGCCCGCACGGTAGCAATAGGTTTCTCCTCTTTATTCTTCTTCTTCCCTAATTCTTTAATTAAATAAAAATTAAAGGTCGAACCCGGTTCAACCGTAACCACCGGTTCGAAAAAACCGGAAAGCCTGCGGTTCGAACCGACGGTTCCGAAGGCAACTCTACCTGCAGATTCCTTCTCCTGCCCGATGAAATTTAGGTTGCAATCATCTGCAAATGTCGATGGAGCCACCGCCCTTTGAGGAAGCCTCGCGTTGTGATGTCTGTAAGTGCAGCTTCTCCACCTTCCGCCGCCGGGTAAATTATCTAAATTCTGATTCACAATTGAGTTGAATTCAATTATCTTGATTTGTCGATATTTGGTGGGCTTCTTCACTAGCTTTTAGATTATGATCTAGTTCTAGAAGTAGCTGATCCCTTCAACTTTGGAGTAAGATAAATGTGGAGTTGTAGCATGATTTTGGTCTTGTGGAGAGGTGGGATTGATCGCATGGCACGGTGATCGGTTAAAATTTTTTGGCGGAATAGTCTACCCGATTGTGAAAAAAAATGCATGAATTTTAGAGTCATCTGTAGATGTTACATCCAAATTTATTTGCTTTAATACCGTAAATCATTCAAGATAATGTTCCGAAGCTTCTTTAATGGTTAGATCCATCAATTGTTGTATTAATCTGAACATTGTCCGTTAAGCATGTCCTTCAATTCTTGAAACCTTTATTACTTATAATAAAGTTTTTCTTTATTGTCTATTGTATTTCTGATGCTTAAGCTGATTCATTGTTTCATCCTGCATGATTGAGTGATGATTAGTATAATTTTTACAGACATATTAGGTTCAGTGTTTAGTAATTTTCAATATTAAGCTTTTGTATATGACTTCGCTGACTAAGTTATTTTCTATTGGGATCTATTCAATTTTAATTTCATTCTCAATGTGTATATTTTATGTTGGACTTTATATTGCATGTAATTTGCAGCATCATTGCCGTTGTTGTGGACGGACTTTATGCGCTGAACATTCATCTGATCAAATGGTATGTGCTTTAATGAACAGATTTCTAACTTTTCCGCAAGCATATGAACTATTGCTAATCTCTTTCCGTTTCTTCAGGCCTTGCCACAGTTTGGTATTCACTCGAATGTCCGAGTTTGTGCTGATTGCTTTAACAATGGCTCAAGGTAACGTGTTTTATTGACTTTTACAGATCCTCAAGGTCAGCACACTTTTTAAAAGAAATACTAATAAGATGTTTTTATTTTACCAGAGGGATTTGAATTAGTTCCTTCCAACTTTTCTTTTTCTCTTAATAAATTTTTTCTATTGGTTTTCAAGTTTTATCTATAGATTGGAAGTTCCAAGTAATGATTTTTAAAAATGATTTTCTACTTTGTTTATGAGTGCAAACTATTCACTGACTCCGGGTAAGTCAATATTTATATAGCATATGAAGTAACTTCTTTGTATATACTTTGTTATGTTTGTCATTACTATATAATTCGTGTAATAGTTAAGATGTCAATATAGGTCTCGACACAGTTGATGTAGGCCTTATATATATAAAGTTATCACACCCTCTTTTTAGTTTAATCTGGCATAAAATTGGATGGTTACCAACAGGAGTTTGTATCTTTTCTTTCCTTCCAAAACTCTGCCAATCTGTTTAATTCAAATTTCATCCTTCAATCTTTTATTTTCAATCACACAAGTTAGCTGACAAACTATGCCCTGTGGCTGGTACAAGTTCGAGTTCTTAATGGCACTTCAAGTTGTCTTTTGTGTGACCATGATGAATACCTAAGTTGGTTTCAACTTGACCAACTCCTTAAAATTCTTTGCATCAAGAAATTTGATGGATGTTGCTAATTGAAAAATGAGTTTTTAAGGGGTGATCTCGTCCCAAGTCTAAGTCGACTTCTTACTAATTTCTGAATGCCCTTTCTACACCCTATTAGACTCATTTTTGGGTGATTTTTTAAGGAAGATCAAACACTTAAGTAATGCAGAAATAAATGCTGCTTAATAACTAATGTGCACACGTATAGATACATGTTATTAGTGATAGGGCAAAAATAGGGGGGAAGGACTAAGGAAATCACGATGCAAATAAGACATGAAATAGAAAAAAAAAGAGAGGAAACAATGGAAGGTCAGGCCTTATCTCTTTTATAAAAAAACTTCATAAGTTTGTGCATAAATATATATATATATATATATTGGAAAGTAAAATTTATTTTATTCATATAAGAAGAGATACCTAAGGTTATACAGAAAAGTTTCTAGATGAGAGATAAGAGTACCCACAACCAGATAGATAATTAACATTGCCTCTAGCATTGATCTCAGGAAAATACTCAGCCAAATCATTCATACTTGGGATATTCTGAAAGATAATGAGAAGGGAACTTTAAAGTAGAAAACCAAAGCTTATTTATATCAAAGTTTAGAGATCACGGAGGTGTAGAACCAAGGGTCCAACCCAGAGCATTTCTGGAGTTGCATTCAAACACAATATTTGTAAGGGGGGTGGGGGGGGGGGGGTGTATTAGCATTGGAGAACTACCTCAAGAGTGTGCACCACGGAAACAATTCTGCCACATTAAATCCTTGATGCCATTCTATTTGGAAAGGATAAAAAGGATGTGACTGTGGTGATCTCTAGTGACTGCTTGAATTCAGATTGGGGGTTTACCATATGCTGAGTCATCTGTGCTGCTCTTTCACCAAGGAAGATCCAAAGATTTCCAAGAAATTGCTAGCTTTGTCTTTGGTGTGTTTATGATGATACTTGTTGGTGATGGCTTTAAGATTGTTTACCAGAAAGGCCAAGGGAAGATTCATGTTGGTAATATGAGCTTTGCACTATTTACTGAGAGATGGACTCATAGAATGACCCAATCGATAGTGAGGATTGCAATTTAAAAAACAGCATTTCTAGATTGCTTAGTGAAGGTGACAAAGAGGGCAAAAGAACACATGAGGTTGGGCATTCTTGACTTTGTGGGGGTGTTACACCTTGGAAGACTAAATAACCTGGCAACCGTGGCCATTGTTGATACTAATTTGAGTCAAGTACCCAATGAAAGAAATTGAAAGAAAGGATTTTCTTATAATTTTGTTTCCATATATAATTAATTATATGATATTTACTCTTGCTTAAATATTTTAATATGTTTAGCTAAAGTCAACAAAGAACAACAAAATGGATCCTTAGTCAGCTATATTTATATGTGTGTATATATTGCCTAATCATTATAATAAAATAATTCAACCATGACTTTTTGTATTGTTTAGCGTAGTGTTTGTGTATATATATACTTATATACTATATATGTATAAATTTCTTTAGGAAAACCAATAAACGAAATAATTAGCTATCTCCATCCCCTGTAAGCTTGGCATTAATAGTTCAGATGCCATAAATGTGACATAACAATAAGAATTCTAAAATAATAATACTCACTATACCTACACATTTGATATTGTTAAGATATATTTTAGATAGTTATCGAACATGCCTATAAATAGAGCTATATACTGGTAGTAGAATTCTAAAATAATAATACTCACTATACCTACACATTTGACAATATATTGTTAATGATTAACTCAAAAATTTCTCCCAAAATGTAACATTATATTAGAGCTATATTTTCTCCGGATACATTCCTTTAACCCGACGTGTACTTGAATGACCTCCCGAATTTGAGATTCTCTACCACTACAAAAATATCAAAGCCACACTTAAATATATTGAATCCATTCTGATCAAGTCTGTTAGTCACTTTTCCAATGCATCCAACTTACTCCGCCACTGTGTTCCTGACTCTGAGACAACACTTGTCATCAAAAGAAGCGCAAGCAAGCTAGCTGTGCTGGTCAATGATTGGTCAACAGACGGTCAACATTTTTTTGTTCCTGACTCCGGCCGCCCTTGGAGGTGCATCCGGTGTTCAATTGCTAAAATTTTCTTACAACAATATACTGAGAATATTTCCAACCACACCCACCATCGAGCTGTCATGTATCCTTTGAGTATTCTGCTTTCTAATGGTTTGGCTTCACTCTCCAACTTCCTGAATCCAGTGTAGTTCATCCTGTATTCCATGTCTTGCACCTCAACAAGGTCATCAGGGATCTCTGCTTGAGCCTGAGGTGATTCTGGCCTGCTGCCTGCTGCCTGCTGCCAGTACATACAACCAACAAGTCCTGGTTCAATGGCGGGGGCTTACGTGAGACAATGCCTACTTGGATGAATCATGAATGCTGATGACATTGACCAGGAATTCCTGGAGTTCTGCCTTGAGGACAGGGCCCTTTTTGGAGTGGATGGGATTTAATATGGACCAGCATGAGCCACCACTTTTGGGTCCATTCCAGATAGGCAAAGCATGGCCCACCTTACGCGGGCCTTGTTGTTGCCCAGACTTGAGTTTCGTTTGCATGTTTAGGTAATTATTGCTTAATGGTCTTAGGCTTGTAACTAAGGAATATAATCAGTAGCTCATAGTAGGGAACATCAAGGTGGTTTCTGCACTAGAATTACAGCTTAGGCTGGGACAAAATAGTGGTTCCTGTAGAACTTTGATTCGTCAATTGAATGAAGTTCTCTCATTTCTTTCAGTGGGCATCACATCAAAAGCCTCAAATTCAGTCTAGTTTCCTGAGGCTTTTCATCAACTAAATGGCATTGACTATTAAAAAACGTTCAGTCATATGTAAATTCTGCAACGATTGTTTGCAATCTGTTTATTGCTGTTTCTAATTTTGGGTTAATTGGTGGCTCAAGGTAAATAATGCCTTTCCCTAGTGTTCTTGATTGTGATATGTGCATGGCATAGCCCATTGGTATATATTTACAAATCTTCGAACCTACAAATCCCTGAATGAATGTTCAAGTCGACTCTTATGAGCTGGGTTTCAATGCATGTTTACTTTTCTTCTAGCACATGGATCTATTTCTGCTATATTATATCTTACTTTATTCTTCCCCTCATATCCTTCCAGTCTTCATCTTTAAATGACATCATTGTCACTGAACCTCCTTACTCAGAGTGTTAAATTACTGAATTTCATGAGTGTAGTTTGTTCTCTGTAAGAATTTTTAACTCTTGATGTTCTTGCTATCTTCTTGACCTTGCCTATGTATTCTACTACCGGTTGCCTCGTGATATAACCATTGTATGTAGAGAATGTTCTATTTATACTCTTTTAGTGAGTTGTAACCGGTATCACTGCATGACATGAAGCTTGTCTTGATTCTTTTTTAAGTATGTTAACTTGTTTAAAATTTTTTCTTAGATTTAACAAGGATGGTTTCCCAGCTACTCCCACTGAAGTTAACGTGGCTTCAGATTCGATCTCAAGATTAGATTTAAATAGAGTTTCAGATACCAAAACCAATATCAGTGCCGACAATAATTACTCTTCCGGCGTTTCAGAATGCAAGTGTGGGATGCCTTTGTGCATTTGTGAAGCACCTGCTCCTAAGGAAGCTGTGTTACAACAGGCAAGATCTGTTTTTATTAACCAAATAACCTTTTCTGAAATTTATAGTCAAGAAATTTTTATTGCAGCCGCTAACAACTCCCTACAACCCACTTCACTCATCAAAAGTGAAAAAGGCGGAGCCATCTAAGAGTAAAGGTTCTACATCAAACAGCAGGCAAAGGTATGCACATGTGATGATTTCAAGTTGGCACCAATTATCACTTCATTGTCTCTATCCAAGTCAACGCCCAATTCTAAAGAAAGTAGTGACTAATGTGTGAAAGATTCCCTAAATTTAATCACTTTGAGAAGGTATTTATCTAGCAAACCTTTGTGTGACTTTGTATCTATCTATATGGAAGCACTGCAGTAATAACTCTCAGTCGAATCATATATCAATTTTTCTAGTTATCTTTGCTAGGCTTCCTCTGTCAAGTGTTGCATTATGAATTCTTATGCAGTACACTTACCAATCCCGGCCTAGCCGTCAACAGTTCCATAAAAATCTCATCCATTGATTATGAAGTTACTGGAGAGGTATATAAAGCTCAACATGTTTCTTTTGGGAAAATCAACTACGAAGTGTCATTTTATTCCTGTTACATCATTATCTACCATTTTCTGCATAATAAATAGGGTTTAAGAGAAGCAATAAAAAATGGTGATGTGGCTGCTGCTAAGAAGCTTTTGAGTCAGGTACCCCCCTTTTGCTTCTTTTTCATTTTATATTTAACCTTGGGGTGAGTTCCGGACTAATATTGAAATATTGATGTGTTTAGGGAGTGGATGCAAATTACTGTGACAAGCAAGGCTCCTCATTATTGCATTTGGTATCCATTGTCGCACTCCTCTAAGAATCCTGATTCACATCATTTTATTTCATCATTTTTTGACTTGATATCAATGCAGGCTGCAGTTTTCAACCAAACTGAGATAGTCTTTTCTCTAATGGACAATGGAGCAAGTTTGGATTGCAAGAATGCACAAGGTGATTGATTTCAGCACTCTCTTTCTTTTCCATTGTATACTTTAGTGGAAGAATAATCTTTGGAGCCGAATGATACACAGAATACTAGTCCATAACTTGAAAGGAAATGGTAATGGTGACTGTAACTATGCATTCGTCTCTCTGGGTGCACATCAATTTCAGGGTTCATCAAACTATTAAAATTTTGATTTCACGGTCATGAATCTAGTGTAATGTGGAACTTCAGATATCGCTGGATACTGTTTGTTTGGTCCTACATTTATTATTTAGGGAGATGTCAATGTTTTCGCTTAGTGACCTAAGAGCTGGATGTGGTGTATTTCGCCGACATTTTCCTTCCTGTCTTATTCAGGTGAGACACCTCTTGATTGCGCCCCTGCTATGCTGCAGTACAAGATCAAAGAGAAGATGGGTGGAAATGTGCAATTCGATTCCTAACATGCTGTGCATTGATGTTTCTTCATTAAACTGTATACATTCAGTATGCTTCCATCTGTAATTAGTGGCTATGTTACAACTATACTGTCAAGATTGAATGTTGAATCGTATTACAATTTATGTTCTCGTCTTTTTGATATAGCTAGTTAGGTGGTGAGGTTTTCTGTAAGATGCTGACTTTCATGTGCCAAACAGATATGGTTCAGAGCTAATGGCACCTTCATTATAATATCTAAAGTAGTCGCTTGCTTTTATCTTATTTGGCAATTCCGTTTGTTTCTAGATATTTCATGCTTGATTTGTAGACAAGGGGAATTAATAATTTCTCTCTTATTAAGTGTACTATAGCCCAGCAAGAAGTGTAGGCTGTTACCTAGGGTATTAAATCGATACAATAGTCAATATAAATTTTGGCGGTGGTGTATAAATCCCACCTTCTTGGCTGTGTCTTGCTTATCTGTCTTTTTGCATGCATGTTCTTTAGGTGGATAAGGTGTAACGACAACCATTCTTCATGTGCGGATGCATACCTACATTTGGCTTAGTACGGAATAGAATAGTATTTTACCGAATTTTTAGATTTGTGTGTCGTCATTATAGCGTCTACCTAATGCACATAGGGTATTCTTTGCCTGAGGAAAGGAGGTGGCTCGATGAACATAATCTGTCGTTATTGATAACTTGCGAGATGAACACGGTAGGTACCTGGTGGGTGTGATGGATAGCATTTTGAACATGATTAAATTTCTGTATGTATAATTAAATTTCTTGCTTATGATAATTCTGTATGTATAATTAAATTTCTCGTATTGTTGTGAACATGATATGATGGTTTGGCTGCTGTCCTTATTTGATTCTTGATCTCGAGATTTAACCATTTTGTAGCTTCCCACCATTTTTGGTTCTTATAGAGTTTCATTACCCTATAAACTATAACGACAAACACATTATTTACCAAAACGCTACGAATTTTGTATCATTAGGTTGGATCATATTCTAGTGATATTATCAAGCTTACTTTTCAAATATCCTATTTGCTATATTTCGCGTTATTGTGTATGATTAGATGAGATTATTTGACTGTTGTGCTCCGTGAAATTACCAAGCAAACGAATTTTGTATCATTGTGTCTGTGTTATATAGAAATATGGTACAACACTCTATCACCCAAATAATATAAAAAGTTCAACAAATGAAGTGCTTGAAAAACATATTACAAAAACAAGAAAGAACAAGAGAAAAGACTAAGAGTAAAAGAAAATAAATGGGGCAAAATATTTGGTGTGATGATCCTTAAATCCCTCTCCAAATGTCTTTTTCCATTTTTCTTTTAACACATCTTCTCATTAAACTTCTGTAAGTATTGCTTAATTCATTTCATAAGTATTTAATTTCTTCATAAGTTTTGTTATTATTATTTTTTTTTCTTTTCAATGCTATGAAAGACCTGAACTCTTTCACCTCCCACATTGTTTCCTTCATCAAGAATCTTCAATAACACTTCACTAATCCATTGATTATTAAAAGCTTTCAAAACCCTTCATTGAAGATCATAATTCTCATTAAGTAGTTTACTTACTAATCTCACTAAAATGTCTTCTCTTGTTGTGCTTTCATGTGCTTTTATTTAGATAGGTATTTTAGTTAATATACTTGTTAGAAATATATTTTAGATAGATATTTTAGTTGATATTATTTAGATTTGTTTGTTATCATATAATCGTATTTATTATATTAGGTTGTTATTATGGTACTAGATTTTGTTATTATTATTTGGCTTTATCCTTTTGTATAAGGTTTATAAATAAATTTTAATTTTATTATCAATAAATTTCAATAATTTCTCTTAAAATTTTTTTACAAGTACCAGAGCCTAATTTTTCTCTTGGAATAGATACAATCTACTAATTCACGTTTTCTTAAGGTATATCTCGTAATTAGTGACGGAACTAGCTTTCAACCTCCGGGAGACAAAATATTTGTAAAATTTTTTAATATTTAATAAATAATTAATTAATAAAATTAAATATATATAATAAATAATAAAATAATTTTACCTTCAACAAAAGTTTAACATCATAAATCGAAAATATTAAGTAGAAGGCAATTTATATTTTCGATGCCTCATACTCTGAAATTGCCTCGTAATGACTTCATTTTCAATTTTCACAAAAAAATTCTTTCTCAATGTAACATACCAAACAATCTGTCAAAAATTCATCTCCTATTTTGTTGCGCAAGTCATTCTTAATGAGTTTCATCGTGAAGAATGATCTTTCAACTGTAGCTATCGTAACAGGTAAGATCAATGTCAACTCAATAAATCGATACACTAACCTATAAGTTGTAAGTCATTCCATAGCCACCATAATTTTTGCCAAATCTTCAATATTTTCCATTCCCAAGAAAAGTGGAAATGATTTAACAAATGTAAAGAACATTGAATTGTTCTTCCCATTTGAATTTTCTCTTGAATTGAAATTATCCGAATATAATTTAGTCAACCGAAGTATCGCTTTTGATCAAAATTTGAAAATGAGTCTTTAGGGCATAAGAATGCTATGCATATAAGCAATTTTGAACTTGACTCCGTAAAGCGAGTATTCATCTATTGGATGAGATGATCAACAATCTATCGTGATGAAAAGTAAACAATGATTCACAGAAAAATAAATAAAGACATATATGCTAATATCAAATAAAGGGGAAAAAATACCTCCAAAAATATATCAACATAAAAATAGATTGTCATCAACTGTTTTACCTCTTAATTCGAGCCGGGCTAGACATCTTCCATAGTAGGCACACAAATATTATGTTTCGAACAAAATATAGTGACTTTTTCAAGCAACTCACTCCAAGAATAACTATTCCTATAATTTTATAAATCATTCTTCACACCTTCCATAAGAACCAAAACATTTCTTATGTTTTGATTCTTTTGTTAAAAACTCTTTGCTAACATATTTGTTTCTTACAACAATTGCATCACTAAATGAGCAATGAATACAAAATCAAATGTTACCATTTTCTTAACCAAACTCAAAATGTTGGATTTACTTTTAAGATCAACTCCTCCATCATATATATATAACTTCAAGTACCTCAATCACTATATATCATATATCCAAAACTCTTGAAATTGTTTTCAAATGCGATCCCCAACGAGTATCCCCGATCGAGCTAAACTTTTTTCTTGATTTTTGCCCTTTCCAGTGTTAATCTCACAATATTTCATACAATCAACAAGTTTCTCATAATGCCTTTGTAAAAGATCATCATTTCTTTTATATGATGCCCCAACTACATTCACAATCATACTAAGATAATCGAAAAAACTACCGACTATTTCATTATTCTTTAAAGATGTCACAACCACTAATTAAAGTCGGTGAGAAAAATAATAAATATTAGTGTGATTGCTTATCTTCATCCAAATTTTTTCGCTTTAAACCATTAATCTCACAAATCATATATAAGGCTTCATCATAACCTTGACCTCAAACCTTAGACAACGAGAGTGCATGTTTTGCAAAAAGTTCATTAATTGTATTTTTCAACGAATGTGTAGAAGTATTAGTGATTTGCACCACTCCAAGAAATCGCTCTATCATCTCCCCACAATCATTAACATTTCTCAAAATTATAGACATTTGCTCTTTTATTGAACTATCTTGGGCTTAATCAATCAAAAGTGAAAAACATTTGCTACAAATCTCATTAACAATAGTTTGTCTTACCTATGTTGCATAAGTATTAGTAACTTTCTTTTGGATATTGGAAGAGGTCATTTGACTATTCTCCGGGATATTTAAGTTCATCAATGCATTTATTTGTGGATGCCGACGACACTCCCATTTCAAGAATTCAATAAAATTATCTATAAATAAATTAAGAATGAGAAATTTACAATATAATAATTAATATAAGAAATTATATAATTGTTGAGCCACAAAAAAAATTTAAAAATTAAGGTTTCAGCCCCTGGGCTCAGAAGATGAAAATAAGTGTCCGAATGCCTAGTCAATTGATGCGGGTTTGATGGGCCGATGGGCTGCCTGGTTCTTTTTGTTGGGCCATTGGGTGACGAAGTCAGGAGCTCAAGACTATTTGGACAGTGCGTCCGAAAACCCGTGAGCTGCACTAGCATAGTGAAGTGGTTGATTTTGGGGGGTTGAAGGTTCTGTTATAGTCCGGTAATCGAATCAAACCATCCAAAACGGATGTAGACGAGCTCGTATATAGTCGGATGCAAAGATGGAAAGAAGAAGTCGGAATACTTTTTCCAGAATAGAACTCTGCGACGTTGTTCTGGATTGTTTTTTTCTTTTACGTTGCTTAACTTCAGTATTATCCTGTTTAGTGTTTACAGATATGTAATCTAAGGCACAACTTATCAAGATCCATTTTTGAATTTTACTTTATTTTTATTGAATTTCATACAACAACAATAATAATTATTTACGTGAATGTATTGAATTATCCGGTTTGTCATATCCTCTACAAGCCAAACTTCCCTTCAAAAGGAACCAAACTACATCCACTATCATTGCTAATCTAGCTTGGTAATCAATCTCATCTTGTCTACTTTGTTGTCAGATGATATAATCAATATTTTGTCATTAACTTTTAAACTCAAGATATAGAACTTTTGTATAACGATGTATGTTACCTTGACCCCCTTAATGTCGCAAAATTTATCTTTACTTTATTTTTTTTTCTAATTTCTAAAACTAATTTATGTAAACACATAGTCTCCAAATTTACCATCTTTCGTAAACAAGTAACATACTTGACAAAATATTGCATCTTTAGCCACACAATATTCCAACCAATTAAATTCTTAAAACCACTATTTTCAAAATGATCTCATATCTCTACAAAAGTTAGTTTGTGGATAAATAAATTCATGCGTTTGACAAGAACCTTTTATCAAATAGCATCTTTTTAATTCATCTTTTATATTAACTGGATAACTTTCAATCAATTTTTGAATCCAAGATATCCAATAATATCATCATTTGACAACTCAACTCCTATTGAAAATTTGACAGTCTTTAACATTGCGAACTACATCATCACATGGAGTATTAATATTATCTGAGGAAGAAGATACACTCTTCAACCTTTTAGAAATCGGTTTAATATAGCTCTTTGTTCAAATAACCTACCACTAAAGTACAATAATTACAATATTAAAATATAAAAACTATAAATACAAAAAGTTCAATAAAAAAAATAAAAATCCACTTGTTGTTTCACTTTCAAGACATACAACAAAAATAATAAAAAATATAAAAATATAATCAACTAATTTTTTTACCTATCCAAAATTCCACTTGGTGGTTCTTCGATATGTTTAAGAAGATAAATAAAAGAGGCAAACATAATTGATTTAATTTGGATAAAAATAAGAAGAAAAAGACGTGATGTAAAAGGAAATTGAAGAAATAGGTATTGTTGCGCGGTGGTGGGGCTGGGAGGAGTTTTAGTTTAGGTTAATTATATATATATATATATATTAAATTTTAATTGACATAAATTAAAATAAAAAATCAGTAAAGAACAAAACGGCATAAGTCACTTTATCATTCATTGACTAGACTTGGAGTCAGTATCATAATTATAAATATATATTTTATTCTTTATAATGAAAAAAATAATATAAAATTTGGGGGTCAATTGAACCTACGTTTTTATTTGGGTCCGTCCTTACACGTAATGTAATTTTCTTTCAAATCTGAACCGTTATCGTATTCCCAATTTAGAAAACATTTGCACCAAATATTAGCATCATCGGAAACAATATGTATTAGTTACTAACTGTCAAAAAATTTGGTCAATGCTGCCGGTCAACATGGTTAACAATTTCATTGCCGTCGACTTTGGCTGCATGTGCAACTGCATTCGATGTCCAATTGCTAGAATTTTTCGGTAACAACATACTGAAATATTTTCAGCCTATCCATCAAGTTTTCAGTTTTGATTAAATTTTTAATTTGGTATTTAATTATTTATTCAAAGTTTTTGCCTATGAGAACTTAATTTCTCAGGATTTAGGGCTGCCGCAGCGACAGAAAATCGCCGGTGCCGCCGTGATAGAGGATTGCCGTCATCAGAAATACTATTTTGATGTTGTCGCAGCGACGGAAGATCGTTGCCACCGCCACCACAATAGAGGATCGTGGCTATTAAAAATCCTAATTTTTCCAAAACTTTAATTTATTAAAGTTTCCACCGTTGTGACATAGGATTGCATGCGCTAGCTTGCGACAAATGATTGATGCCACTAAAAAATTTAATTTGACCAAAACTCTAATTTATTAAGATTTAACGTCCTCATCACGACAGATAATCGATTTGAATTCTGATATTCAGTTATGAAGTCCGTCCACATTCAGCCACCTCATATTTCTTTTGTCAAACTCGAGTTGGCTTTTACATCACCAACTTGAGTTTGAGGCGCGGTGTTGAAATATATTTTGAATAGATTCTTAAGTTGATATTATTTAAATTTGTTAGTTATCATATAATCATATATATTAGATTAGGTTGTTATTATCTAGACAATTTAGCTTATCCTTTTGTATAAGGTGCATTAGTTTCATTATCAATAAATCTCAATAATTTTTCTTAGATTTTTTTTTATAAGAACCAATTTTCTTACACACATTTTCCATTGTTTTAGGCTAAACTCAACAATATCCCCCTTTCAAATACTCCATCCATCGTAAAAAAAATATGCAAATTTGATTGGACACGAATCTTTAAAAAAATAAATAGAAATAATTTTTTTTTCTTTTATAGTAAATTAAAAGAAAAAAAAAGTATTTTTTATTGAAAAAAAAATAAGAATATTTTTTTATGACAATTTAAAAGGAAAAAATAGATATAAATTTAGATTACAGATGAAATAGTTATATTTTCACCTTCCATTAAATTGTATGATATTTTTGTCAATTATTTTTAACGATGTCTCTTCGCATAGCCGATCATTATCTACATTATAACTAACAATGAAAAAACATTACAAAATCAATATTTTTTTAAGAAAAAATACCCTCAAATCGCTCGAGAATGGACTCACTCTTTGCTTCACATCTTCTAAATAAAGAGATTTAAGGCGTTTATCTCCCAAGGTAGTATCCCAACGGAATTAACTATAAAAAAATTTGACATTGATTTTAATTAAATTTATTTTCAAATAATTGATGAAATAATTTTTCGATATCTTGTTAATGAAACTTATAAAGAATATTTTTACTTGAAAATTAGAATTTCAAATGCACATGAGTAAATATGTCAATTCTCCACTAATAAAGTTAGATTTAGATGTTTATTTTGGTAGTCGTCAATACACATTTGACACGAATGCAAAGTTTGATATTTTAAGTCGGTGAAAAGAAGAATGAAAATTTTAAATATTGTCCAAAAAAGACAAATTTACTGACAATTCCATTAAATATGGTGGCTTCGAAGTTTAATTTTATATCAATTGACACAGTGAAAATATTACTTTGTGCTAATGATTAAATAAGAATTTTACATCTACTAACAAAAAGTAATACGACAAATATATTGAATTTTAATATTTATTTATATATTTGTTTAACATAATTTTTTAATTTATAAGCTTAATCATATTAAAATCTTTTATAGAGTCTAATTAAGATGAAATTTTTTACTCCCTCCGTCCCACATAATTTGTCTCTATTTTATATTTTTGTCTGTCCACATAACTTGTCCTTTCATTTTTTTTTAGAAATATGATTATCCACTTTAATCACATTTTAAATTTTATAATTTTTTTAATCTTAATTAAACTATTTATTTAATCTTAATCTATAATTATTTTTACTAAATAATAATTACTTATGCAAATACATTTTTTAATTACCTACTAATTATATTTTATCTAAATTCTCATATTTAAAGTAATAGATCCAAAATATATGGGACTGGAGGGAGTATTAAAAAAAAAAAAAAGTTACTATTTTTTATTGAATTGAAAATATATATTAGTTCATGTACATTACCTTTTATTTTCTATTATATTTAACTTGTTTTACTTTTTAAATTTTAGTATTTAATTAATAACCTTCTTTAGAAATGCAAGTAGTTGAACTTGGAAGAAATAATGTCAAAATGTGTTATGGGTCTACTTGGATTTGGGTTAACAGAAGTAAAAAATGGAAGTAGAAGTTAAAAGTAAAAGTAATTTGATTGTGTTTGGATGTATTATTATAAAAATAGGTTTCTTAAGAGTTTCAAATAACATTTTTACTATTTTTGCCAGTTTTTTTCAAAAGTATCAATTTTTTATTTTAGTAAATATATCGTATATTAATACCAAAATATCTTTTTAACTTTTATTTTAATTTACAAACATACTATTATACATACAATTATTTTATACATAAAGTTAAATATGACAAAAATGTTAAAACTTCTTACATATTTCAACTAACAAGAAAATATTATTATATCTTAATCTACTACAAAATCTCAAGAGTATACATTCGAGTGGAACGATAGGAGTATATATTTTGACGTAATAAAATTAAAAATATTTTTGAACTGTCGTATTTATTGAAAGACTACTATTAGTATTTATTGAAAGACTACTATTAATGTAAATTTATTTTTCTACTAAATTTCATAATTTGTTTTAGAATTCTAGAAATATATTTTTAAAAAATTAGTTATCTAATATAATTATTAATATATAAAATAAATTCTTTATCTTAATTATATTTTTGAATTTTGAATTAAATATGATATATAAATTAAAAATAAAAATACAATTTATTTTTAGGTACATCGATGTTTGTAAAAACTCTTTAGCTTTAAAAATTACTTCTATTTTTAAACAAAAATCAATACAAACGGATATAAATTATTTTTTTTAAAAAATAAGAAGTCAAAGCCTATTAAAAAGCTAATCCAAATATATATACATAATAATTACTAATTTTTATAAAATTTGTATTTAATTGTGATTTCAAATTGAAATACATTATTTATCCAGCACAATTTTAATAAAAATACATTATTTTCTTATCACAAAATATTACATAAAAAAAACTATATAAACATAAATTCGAATCAATTTCAAATCGTAATCAAATAAATATTTGTATTATATTTGGTTATTTAACTATATGACGAGAGTGTTTGAATTAAGTTGTTGATGTTTGCATGTTTGTTTGCTTTGTATTTATTTAAAATGACTTGTATTAATTATGTTGCCAATATTTTTTTTCCAATTATTTGTGACTAATAAATATAATTTTTAATTTTTATAATTTTTTAAATTAAGCTAAATGAACCAAATTCAACCTCAAATAGACTTTTAATTTAGCTAAACAAGCCAAACCCTAGTTCTTAACAAAGCCAAATTCAAAATACAAATTTTAGCTCTTTTACAACAAACAAACAAACACAAACGTCACATTCAATTATTATTTCTTTAAATAAACATCAATATTGAAAAAAACAGATACAAGAATATATTATGCATATACCTCAAAATTAATTATCTTTGTATGTTTTCTTCTATTCTAAGAACAAGCATGGAATAAGCCACATTCAGAAATGTACTAAATTGTTTTCATCCAAATCTTGTTATTTAAATTTTCTCTCGTTTTTTTTTTTTTTAGTAAAAAAAATACCACTCTTTTAATTTATTTTTTTTACCCTAAAAAGTAAAAAATTATATTTTTACCTATTTATTTAAGATCCATACCCAGACAAATAAACACACAGTTGAATGACGAAAAGAATATGTACTACAACTGTAGTTCTAGTGGTTAAGCACTCCTTGACATGTTTGAAGTTATAATTCTAGTAAAATGTTCGTAAAAAGGAAAAAAGAAAAATTGTTTGAGGTTCAATTCTTGTAAAATGTTCGTAAAAAGAAATAATAATAAAAAAAATAAAAAAAAATCGAATCGATTTCAACAAACACTTATATAGTAGTAGTAGCAACTTCACAAACAAAATAAATGTAGCATTGTTCAATCAAATAAACAAGGTTTCAGCTACAGACTACCATCTCTGCAACGGAAAACTGTGCTCCACAGCACCATCCATAATATATAACATCAAAATAACTTCAAGAAATATATATATATACTGCTACACAGATATAATTGGCATATTTTTCATGCTACACAATAATCTTGAATGAAAATTGTGCCCATTATAAAAGAGGGGCACCTGAGGGGGCCTGAATCTTTGATTCATTGCTCGCTAGCGACGACATCGGCGAGTCCTCTCTTCCTCATCTCCAATGGGAAGAACATGACAAAGATTCCAGACAAGAATGTAACCACCCCAAAGAGGATTACAGACAGTGTTTGATGGCATCCCCTCACCAATCCTACAGCAACCAGAGGACACAACATTCCCCCGATTCTCCCAACTGCGCTAGAAATTCCGAAGCCTCTAGCCCTCACAGAGGTTGGATACACCTATAATCCCATTTCAATCAAATTTCTGATGCAAGAAGAGACACAACACAAGTGATTGATTGATTGCAGCCTCCCTTACCTCTGTTGAATAGACACATAATGTCTCGAATGCTGCTGAAAGGAACATTCGACTGCAGATTAGTAAAGATGTGGTCACTAGTCCACCTTGTGGCCACAGCAATGGTACCATGAAAATGAGGGATAGGACTGTAAGGACTTCCAAGCAAGGCTTGCGGCCTATTCTGTCGACAAGAATCACTGCAAGAAGCAGCCCAGGAAGTTCTGCAAGGACAATGTAGAATAATGTTAATGGAGAATAATGCGCATTTGGAATGGGGAGGGTGAAGGAGTGATACCTGCCGAGCAAGTGATGAAACCGTTGATGTAGATACCGGTGTCCATTGTGTTGAATATGGAAGGAGTTGACTGGCAATCGTTTTGCCTGCTGCTCAAAGCAGAGACCATCAATTGAATCCCATAGTATGCGAATGTGTAGGCGAAATTCAGACCCCACAAAAGGAGGGTGGTTACATATAAATCGGGTGCAAAGAGTTCACAAATAGATTTAAGGGATTTCTCTAAACTTCTTATCTTGCTGGTGCTTGAAGTGAGAAGTGTAGTTTGCTCCGAAGGGACTTTCTCTTCGTCCACCTGCACATTTTGATCAGCAATAAGATATCCATTTGGAAGCTCCTTACGGTTGATCCTAGCAACTTTTTCTAAAATTCTCATTGCGTCATTTGTCTTTCCGGCCGTGAATAGGTATCTGGGGGACTCGGGTGTGAAATTTGAAATGAGAAAGAGTGTCAAAGATGGGATAGATGAAAAACCAAGCAACCATCTCCAACCCAGTCTTGGCATTATAACCTGCAAGAAGATACTCAGAATTCTGGAATTAGAACCACAACTTAATCTGAAGTTTAAGGTAGAATGAGAAAATGGATCAAAGAATTTTGATTTACCCAAGCAAGTGAAGCCTCCAACATTTCTCCAAAGATCCAGGAACATGTCATAACAAGCATCCAAGTACCTCTGTTAGAACTCGGCAAGAACTCAAGAAACCAAGATAAAAACACATGCCCACCAGCAGCACCAAATCCCATGAAAAAGCGAAGAGCCGCCAATGTTTTATAATCAGGTGAAAAGGCACTCAAAAGGCCAGATCCAAACATTCCTAAGCTTACAAGTTGAATTGCTGTCCTGTTGGGGAAAACAACATTACTTCCTTATGTGATCCACAAACAAGGGACAATTCTCTCTTCTACTTCAACACCAAGAAAGCTAACAAAAAAATTGAAGAACGATTCTCTAAGGAGCTCTGGCAACATCGTGTTCCCTTACAACAACAAAAAGCTCTCCATGGCAAGGAAAACTTCGAAACAGCTAAAGCAGTAAACACCAAAACTGTTAATTAAGATTGGAAATCATGTAATTTGTACCTTCTGCCATAGGCGTCGGATATGAAGCCCCAAAAACATGCTCCGAAAAGCATTCCACCAAAAACAGTAGTCGAGAGAAGGCTCTCTGCAGTAGGCGACAGAGACCATTCCGTCGTCAGGGCTGGTCCTATGAAGGAGAGGAGACTGACTTCCACAGCTTCCGAAAACCAACCGATCCCCGCGAAAACTAGTGCAAGACCCTGGAATGTCCCGAACCCCACCGACGTAAGTGCTTCATCTAGCGTGTATCCAAGGCTATGATCCCTCATGACGCAGAGAACTCCCCTTTAGCCGTTTCCTGTGTATATCTGCCCAAGGAGATGATGAACACGGTAATTCCTAGTTGTTAAGAACAACAAATAATCGACAATCGAAGCAATTGTTCGTGCTTGTGCGAAATTGGCCCGCGCTTGCGTCTGTAAACCAAAATTTTACAAAAATAAATCAACAACAAAAAAAAAAAACCATTTTAAACTATTACTCCATATTTACACCCGCTATCAACAAATCAACATTTCCTATCTGTGTCCCCCTTTCATTAATGAAAAATATTCGCATTACTTGAAATAATCCGATCCGAATTCAAATCCAGATTAATCAATCCTAAATCAAATATATCCAGCGGAAGAAGAAGAAGAAGAAGGCGCACGCAAAGTTAGAGTAGAAATTTAACTAACAAACCTCCGAAGAAGCCGCGGAAGAAGAAGACGCCAATTTGACGACGACGATCAAGCTGTTCCGGGACGGAATCTGAGAAGAAAGAGGCGATGGGGATCGAAGAAAAGTACGATGAAGCCAGGGAAGAAGAATGCAGAGAAGGAATGGAGAGGAGAAGAGAAGAGAAGAGAAGAGAGGAAGACGAAGGGTGAGGAATTGAGGATTATACTGTAAATGTATTTTGTACGTATTTATATATTATTGTTTTTTTAATTTCTTATTTTTTTATTTTAAAAAAAATTATAATATTTTTTTTAATTTTTGTTACTATGATTGGGTGCACGACCACCACAAAATCTTGTGGCAAATGTTCACCGCACAAGTGTCACATTTCTAAAATATCTTCCCCAGGGGCTTTACTGTCTTTTCACATCCATCTATTTATCGCTTTTGCTTTTATGAGTTATTTTATTTGATATCTTTATTTCGCCCGTGTACGTTTTTTTTTTTTTTTTTTAAACTTTTCCTTCGGGTGAAAATAGGAAGTTAGGCCAGACGGCGTTACAGTGATCCGGATAAAATCTGACTTGGTCTGATATATTTATTTTTAAAAAATTATTTAAGTTTATTTTAAATCTATTTAATTAATTAAAATATATTTATATATTTTTTAAAATGTAAAGAAACAAGTTGGAACGAGGGATTTGATGAAATCGTTAGAAGTCTGATATTCAGAAGTAGGGAGAGATAATGAACTTTGTCATGGCCAATATAATGGCGAGCAAGGTGATGGACAATTTTCACGTGCTTCGTATGCTTATGAAAAATATCATTGGTCAAAATTATCATTACATTTTTACTATAGCAATTAACAATAGCAGCAGAGAATTAAGGCACACTAAGGTTAGCCAACAACCAACAAAGCCATAGGAGCTCAATAGTAGTATCAACAATGGCCCAATACTCAAATTCCAACATTGGACTATGATACAACAATTTGTTTCTTGTTGCATTTAGAAAAAAAAAAAAAAAAAAAAAATCACCAAGAAAAAAAAAAAGTTAATAGTCGATTGACAATCAATAGGGCCTCCAGCCCAATTTGCATTAGAAAATACAGTCAAAACCAGGGATGCGTGAGCCGAATATTGAAAACTATGCAAGAGCGTCTATTTGATGTAGTGAAGGATCTGTAAAATAGCATAGTAATGAGTCATCCGAAAGGCTGACATAAACTGATTGACAATATGAATGGCATATGTAATAACATGACAAGTAACAGTTAGGTAGATGAAGCTCCCCACCAATTGATATACAAGGTAGGATCGTCAAGAGAAACTCTATCCATCGGAGTAAGGCAACAATCAAAATCAAGAAGTGTATGAGCAGTTTTGGAGTCAGTGAAACAAGCTCGGGATAGTAGATCAATGCATACTTAGCATGAGAAAGGTAGCACCCATCGGAGGTGTCAAAGATCTCGAGACCTATGAAATATCAAAAAGGTCCCAAACTCTAAATCTTAAAATGCTGGTGTAGATGATCCTACGGTTCAAAGATACCGGAATGATCATCCTCTGTGATGATCATGTCGTCCATATAAAATAATATAATAGTAATGCCAGTTGACCACGACGAATGAATAGGGCAGAATTGTGATAATTGGATGTAAAGCCAATGTGGAGCATAATAGAGCTGAATTTTGCAAATCACACGCGGGGTGTCTATTTTTAAACCATACAGAGCACGACGAAGTTTACATACCTTAAATGATAGAGAAAAATCATGGAGCGGAAACATATAAATATCATCGGATAGATCACTATGCAAAATCGCATTATTGACATTTAACGGAAGAAAAGGTCACCATCAAATGGAAACAATAGCCAACTGGCAACAAACAAAGGTAAGACGTATAGGCAGAGCAAAAGTCTCCTCATAATTAATACAAAACTCTTGTGTATAGTCTTTAGCAACCAAGCAGGCCTTGTACCATTCGATAGATACATCTGAGTGTGTTTTAATTTGGAATACCCATTTAAAATCAAAAGGTTTCTTTCCCGGTTGAAGATCAACCATATCTCTCACATATGTGTTTTCTCCAAGGCCTCTAACTCTTTAGACATAGTCTGCCGCATAAAAGGTCTATATGCTTCATGGAAGGACTTGTGCTCATGCTGAGACAAGATGACAAAATAAAAATGATAATCAAGTAAATAAGTAGGCAGGTGATTAACCTGAGTGGAGCATCGTAGATCAGGATCAAGGAAAGGAGACTGAGCAGTGTCAAACTCAGGTAGTAGTGTTGGATCAGACTCAAGAGATAGCGTCGGTTTAGGAGGTGCAACCAAGACAAATTCAGATGTTGGAAACGGTGTCGCATCGTCAGAATGAAACAATGAAAATGATGATAAGGTAAAGAAGGGAGATGTACGATCAAAGAAAACTCAAAATTTTGACTATGAAGTAAACTTAGTATGCTTTCATAAGGTGACATAGTGAAAAATACGTAACTGATTATAGATAAGATCTCAACAATGATAACTGTTATGTTCTAACTCATTCCCCAAGAAATAGTATAGATGTGCGAGAAGTTCTAACTTAGTAAACTCATAAGGCGAGAAAATGACAAAATTGACACATCCGAAAGGACGAAGGAGATTATAATCAAAACATTGATGGAATAATTTCTTGAAATGACTAACATTATCCATAATAGAAGAGGGAAAATGGTTTGTAGCGTGAATAGCATTAAGTGCGGCTTTCTCCCATAAGTGATCTAGACAAGAGGCAGACAATAGAAGGGTATGGATAATATAAAAAATATGATGGTTTTTACGTTCAGTGCGACTGATTTGTCAGGAAGTATATGGACATAAACGTTAGACAACTGTATTTCGATTTAAGAGAAAATCGAGAAAAATAAAATCCATACTCAAAGGCATTATTGGTGCGAAAAATTTGGATTGTGCAAAAAAATTGAGTACAAATCATTTGAACAAATTGTGTATACATAGAAGAGAGTTCGAAACACTGTCACATGAAATAAATTAATTTAAAACAAAATTAGTCCGATAAAAAATACGAAATAGTGAAAATTATTGATAGAGGCAGCAAGAGAAAAGTCCCAAAATTTTAAGAGTGAATCAATGCAAATATACATAAAAACAAATCCATGAAATTTCTACTCAATTATCAATTTACCTTCATTCTTATATATATTTATCAAAATATCATTATACATTTTATCTTACTAAGTGAAGATACTATTTTAGACTCTTATCACACTAATATAATATATTTATCTTTTAATAATAGTAATAAAAAAAATAAAAAAAATAAGGCATATTGGTGGACAAAGGAAGTGATAAGATTTAAATAAAAAATTATAATTAATTAATGAATTAATGAATTGATAATGATGTATCACATCCCATCATTTGTAATTTTTTATTATATCATTTTTCTGATAGTATTATATTTTAAATTTTGTTTCTTGACAATTCATTTTTTTCCAAATTAAAAAGTATTTTTTATTCAAGACTTTTCAAATTTCTACACCCAGTTGTTTTTAAATTATTAATATATGTAATATTATTTTATTGTTGTGAATATTGAAATTTCTTGTGTGCAATGGTTAGAGGTTACTTATTTAAGCAATCAATATTTTCTCCCATGTGTTTGAAATATATTTTCCCATTATTTTTTTTTTTTTGAAAAAGTCTAATATAATACTATCTTTGTCCCATTGGGTGTCTTAGTCACCGTAGACATATAAATTTAGGATAAATATAATTAGTAAATAATTAAAAATGTATTAGTGAAAATAATTAACTTATAACATAAATCATTATAGATTAAGATTAAGATAACTAATTAGTTAATTAAAATTAAAAAAATTAAAATTAGAAAATTTAAAATAAAATTAAGATGGATAATTATTTTCCAAAAAAAAGTAAAGTGACATGAGATGTGGGGCGGACAGAAACAGCAACATGAATATAATAAGTGGGACGGAGGGAGTATCAATTTTTTGAAATATAAATATATAATATTATGCATTCAAAAATATTGACTTCGTTTTTAGATATTTTTGAAGTTTTGAAAAAATTTAAAAGTAATAAAAGATTAGGATTTAATGTGATAATTTATAATAAAAAAGATGTTATGACTGTTTTTTAAAAAGTTAATTTAGATTAATAAATAATACTTCATTCGTCTTACTTATTTTGTCCACATTTTTATTTCTGTATCACTTTTTTTTTTTAAAAAAAAGAATAATACACTTTAAATTTTATTTTAAATTTTTTAATTTATATTTTTTTTATATTTTAATTAGACTAATTATTTATTTTAACTTTAATATAAATTTGTTTTTATTATACAATAATTATTTTCACTAATATATTTTTAATTATTTATTAATTATATTTTTTTCAAATTCACGTGTCTACAATAAATAGAATACGATAACCGAGAAAAGAAAGTAATAAAAGTTGTAAGGGTGTGTTGATTTTACTAGCATATTTAATTAATACGATTTTCAATAAATATCATTTAAAAATTCAAATCAATATTTACTTTCACATCTATTTTAAAATAGAACCAAATGCTTTGCTTGTGTATGATGATTAATGTTTGTTTAACCATAAAAATAAAAAAATAAAAAATAAAATAAAAAAGTAGAAATTTATTTTTTCTTTATTCTTGGTACAGCAAATTTGCAGCCAACGGCTGATGTGAAATAACTTAAATTACTGCATATATATATATATATATTTATATATATATCAACATCAAACCTAATGGACACCATAATATATATATAATAAATTTAAAATAAAAAAAAGTTCGTTACGCAATCTCCAACAGCAAAAACACTACGGACGGAGGAGTTGTTTTGTGTTTTGAAGTTGAACTAATTATTATTTTTTTCATCTTAAATAGTCCATTTTTTTTCGGAACTATAGTCTTAATTAGATTGAGCACGATATTATATTGGTTGTTGGTAAAAAGTATAGATAAATTTTTTTTTTTTACCCTTGTGAGTGTATTAATGCAAAAAGTAATGGAAATTGCGTAATAAAAATGAAAAAGTAAGGATAATTTTATGGTGATATGATTATGAAATAAGACTATTGTCTTGGGACGGACAAAAATAGTAAACAAGACTATTGTCTCATTTATCTTTTATATCATTGTACTTAACATTATAAATATTTTTATATTTGTATAATTTTTT